CTCCCCCATATGATTTATACATATATTAGAATATGAAAAACATTGGTCTAATTCATTGCACATACCACAGTGCTTGATACATATTAAGTGTTCAACATGTATTTGATTGAATAAATGTCTGATGAGTCTTCTATTGGACAATCACAAATTTAGAAAAGATCCATTAGTTATAAACACTCCTTCCTTCTCCTCCTCCTTCCTCCTCCTCCTCCTTCCTCCTCCTCCTCACTGGGGTTTGAACTCAGTTTGTCACACTTGCTGTTAGGTGCTCTGCTGCTTGAGACACTCCAACTTCCCTCTTTTGTGTTGGGTACTTTTGAGATAAGTTCTCACTTTCATTTTGCTCAGGTTGGCCTTGAACCAGGATCCTCCTGAGTTGCTAGAATTACATGCATGAGCCACTGGTGCCCAGCTTGTAGCTGGTTTTATAAGTCACATCAAATCCTTTCAGACACCATAGATATTTAGCCACTTTCAAAGTATGGGGCTGGGGAAATATGTAGCTCAGTGGTAGAGAGCTTGTCTAACAAGAACAAGACCTTGGTTTCAATCCCCAGCACCACACACACATACACACACACACACACACACACACACACACACACACACACACGCAAAAGTATGGATAATAGCAAGTTCTTTCCCCATTTAGTAATTTCAGAAGTCTGATATTCTAATAAAGTCTCCCAGCTTTATTAAGATGTAATTCACATACCATACCACATATATCATTATAAATAGTAAATATATATATGTATGTATATGTATGTATATATATATATGTATATAAAAAACATTGTATAATAATGCAATGATTTTTTAGTACATTCAGAGTTGTGCTACCATCACCTTGGGACATTTTTATTACCCTGAAAGAAATTCTTTATGTGTTAATAGTTACTTCCTATACTTCCTTAACCTTTCAGCCTTAGACAACATTGATCTACTTTCTGTTTCTATTGATTTGCCTATTCTGGCCAATGGAATCGTGTAATAATGTGATCTTTTATGACTGGCTTCTTTCATTTAGCATAATGTTTTCAGGTTCACCCATGTTACATCACATTAGTACTTCATTCCTTTTATTGATGAATAATTTCTATTATATAGATATCCCATCTATTCATCTGTTGATTACACATTTGGATTTTTTTGGGCTACTATACATAGTGCTGCTATGAACTTTCATATGTAAGTTTTTATGTGGTGACTCTGTCTTTAAGCTTTTGAGGAACTGTCAGATTGTTTTCCAAGAAGCTGTATCAGTTTTACATTCTCACAAGCAATGTCTGAGAATTTCTGTTTCTCTGCATCTTTACTCACACTTGCAATTATGTGTCTTTTTGTTTTGGCTGTACTGAGTGGTGAAGTCAGGGCCTCAAGCTTGCTAGGCAAGTATTGCCCAGTCCTTTTGCCCATGCCGTCCTTGAACCACCATCCTCCTATCTCCATCTCCTGAGTAACTGGGATTATAGGCATATGTCACCATGCCAGGCCCTTATCTGTCTTTTTAACTATAATCATCTAAAGAGTGTAAAGTGGTAGCTCATTGATTTTGATTTGTATCTGATGATGATGAATGTCTTTACATGGGCTTGTTTTGGCCATTCGTGTATCTTCTTTTTTAATTTTTTGTCTTTTCTTTTTTGGTCCTGGGATTGAACCTAGGGCCTCGCCCATGCTTTACCACTGAGCTACATCTCAGCCTGTGTATCTTCTTTTGGGGAATTTATCTGTTCATATCCTTTGCCCATTTTTATTGCAAAGGTTTTTTAGGTATTCTAGTTTTCTTATCTATATTTCAAAAATATATCTATCAAGATAGTTGCAAAAATACATTTTATCAGACCTATTTAAAAATATTCTCTCCCATTCTGTGGGTTTTTTCATTTTCTTTATAGTGCCCTATTAAGCAAAAAAAAAAAAGGTTGTAATTTTGATGCAGTTTGAGATTCATCATTTTTTGTTGTTGTTTATACTTTCAGTGTCATATTTAAGAAGTCATTACCTAATCTGAGATCCCAAAGATTTCAACCTGGTTTCTTCTAAGAACTTTATAGTTTTAGCTCTTTTATTTGACTTTTTTCCAATTTCAGTTCATTTTGGTTGACGTAGTTGTCTAACTTCATTATTTTTGTGTGAGGATATCCAGTTGTTCCATCACCTTTTGTTAAAAAGCCTATTCTTTCTGCACTGGATTATCTTGAACACCTGTTGAAAATCAATTGACTGTTTTGAGGAACATATTCACATTGTTCCCTTTCCTCCCTGCAAGATTGCCCTCAACTTTTTTGTGAAATTAAACATTTGAAATAATTTCAAAAAGGTGTAGGTACAGTTTAAAGAATTTGATTTTCTTGAACCATCTAAGAGTATCTTGTCAACATAATGCCGTGATGACCATGTTTGTGTGTATTTCCCACAAATAAGAACATTTTCCTACATAACCACAATACAACCATCAAAATCAGAAAACTAATATTGATGCATTTATACCATGTCATCCTCAGATCCTATTCACATTCTGCTCATTGTCCCAGTAACGTCCTTTATAGCAAAAGGATCCAATCCAGAATCACACATTGCATTTCATTTAATTGTCATAATTCTTTAGTCGTCTTCAATCTGATGTATTTCCTTTGCCTTTCCTTGACTTTAATAATTTTCAAACTTTTTGAAGATTATAGGCAGTTATTTCATGGAACATATGTCAATTGTAGCCTGTCTGATGTTTCCTCTTGATTAGATTGAATTTATTGTTGTGTCCTTTGCAGTGCATCCTGTTGGGGTTTACAATTTAACCATTACTTGAGGTAATAACCTTTATTGCTTGGTTAAGATAGTTATTTGCCAGGCTTCTCCACTGTTAATGATTATTTTATTTTTTGGAGTTACTAGAGTTTGAACCCAGAGTCTCATGCTGGCTAGGCAGGTGCTCTACCACTGGAGGTACTCCTCCAGCCCTATTTTGTGTTGGGTATTTTCAAGATAGGGTCTCACAAACTATTTGCCCAGGCTGGCTTCTAGCCACGATCTTCCTGACCTCTTCCTCCTGAGTAGCTAGGATTATAGGTGTGAGCCACAGCTCCCAGATTAAATTATTCTTTTTCTCTTTGTGATTAAAAAGAATTTTGTGAGAAAGTAATGGGGCTTGAATTCTGGGCCTCATGTTTGCTAGGGAGGTGCTCTACCACTTGAGCCACTCTGCCAGTCCTTTTTTGTGTTAAGTATTGTCAACATAGGGTCTCTTGAACTATTTGCTCTGGGCTGGTTTGGTACCACGATCCTCCTGATCTCTGCCTCCTGAGTAGCTAGTGTTACAGGTGTGAGCTGCCCATTTTAGTTTGTATATTTATTTGCTGTTAGGGTTTGAACCCAGGGCCTCTTACACGCTAATACACATTCTACTGCTGAGCTATACCGTCGGTCCTTTTCGTTTATTATCTGCATGGACATCTAGATTCATACTTAGTTTAATGAGTTTCTAGTCCCTTGCTATCATTTGTATTTCTGCTCCAACTGATTGATGCTCCAATTGTTTCAGATTTGGTGAATGGGAATCTACTGTTAAACTTGCTAGTTTTTTGTTTGGTCTTTCTTTCTGTGGTACTGGGAATGGAACCCAGGGTCTCACACATGCTAGGCAAGTGCTGTACCACTGAGCAACACTGCAAGTCCTTCTCTGTTCTTTTGACAAAACACTTCACTTTTTGTTACAACATGATGTTGTAGGTGCATTTGGTATTTGTTCTATGCCATCCTTGGAATAAGCATTTCTCCTTGGTTCCTTTTAATAGAGAATGGCATTACAAACAAAGATTTTGGGGGTGTTGCTGCTCTGAGGATCTCTCAGGGAACAGAACTATATATACACTTATATCCATGTTTATTTTTATATCATCTATACATGTCGAAATTCATGAGTTCATATCAGTTGCTGCAATTCCAGCTCAACACCAGAGGGTATATTCTATTTTTTCATCTTTTCATTTTTGTGACTTCTTTTATAAGACTGAGAAATCTTATATTTATACTGAATTTCTTATTTTAATAGATTTTTTAATCTATTCCCTTGTATGTATCCAGGTTTTTATAACTGTTGCTTCATTCTCCCTGCTGCTTCCTACCTGCTACCTGAGTCAAAAGCCCTTTTCACTCCTTTCTGGCCCTGCCCTACTGCATCAGGTTGCCTACTTCTGAGTATTGTGTCTTTCATCCGTTTGGTTTCATACATGCTGTTTCCCCCCCTGGCTCTGTATCACAGCCCTTCTTTCTTCACTCTGCTTCAGTACCATGCCAGGACCCATTCCTCACCCTGCTCAAGTCCTGAGATCTTGTTCTGTGCTGCTGCGTCTATATGAACACAGTCCTTCATCTTCTCAGGCTCTTGGCACCCAACTCTTAACTATCCCACCCCTATGTAGTCTAGTCCTACTTAATGACCTTTTTTGCTCTTTGGAATATGTTTACGGCATACAAAATAATGTTTTGATTTGCCTATTTGGATATACATGTACATGATGAAGCAGTTACTACAATTAAGCAAATTAATATGCCAGTAATGACTTCTCTTTCCCTTTTTTGGGAAGAGTTAAGAGTACCTAAAGTCTACATTACCAGTATACAATATAGCATTACTAGCTATAGTTCTTATGTTGTACATTAGTCACTTAATAATAGCTTTAGGAATGCATTGTTGGGGGGGGTACTTCTTTTGAAAGACAGTGAACTTTTGCCAAATTAAATATCAGTTATTTTATAAGGAGGGAAAAAAAATAAGTAGCTTGAAGTTTTTACTTTTCAGGCAATTATCGGAAGAGTTCCAAAGGACTCTTTTTTTTTTTTTTTGACTAACATTAAATGTAAAGTAACAGTTAATTTACTTTGTAGTTACTTGAATCTTAATGCACATTAGTTAATGAGCTGCTCCTGGTTGAGGAAATTAAAAAATAAGTAATAATTTACATTTACAAAATAATATTAATTTCTCTTTTAGCTCTTCCACCAAAGCCACCTAAGCCAATGACTTCAGCAGTTACAAATGGAATGAAGGACAGTTCTGTTTTTCTTCAGGATGCAGAATGGTACTGGGGGGATATTTCCAGGTAACTAATGCTGCTATAGTTGAATGCAGTTTCTTAAGAAAATAAGTTTTAAGAATTAGTAGTTAAAATATTTTATGCCCTACTAGCTGTCATTTAAAGATTACCATTTAAAAAATTATGTGTGGGAACATTTCAAGTGTTCTTAATTCTTCCCATGACAAAGTGACAAGAAAATCTTTACATTATGGGTGTGATTATTACTTTTCATTCTGTATTGAAGATTGATTTCTGCATATATGAAACTTGTATTTAGGATAATTACATGTGATTTAGAATAAGGGATTCCTTTAGGTACTTTAATTTTCTTTACCTTTCTCTCTCTAAGGAAGCTGGTCCAAAATCTTTGTTTGTACAAAACTCGGTTGAGATGGAGCCCAGGAAACTAACAACCTCCCTACAAGATTTTTGTTTGTTTGTTCGTTTGAGACAGGGTTGTATTATGTAGCTCACAGGCTGACCTGGAACTTACTGTGTAGCCCAGGTTGGCCTCAAACTTGTGATCCTCTTGCTTTAGCCTCCCAAGTGCTAGCTTACAGGCATGAGCCACCACACTCAGCCATTGGTGATTTTGATGCAGACTCTTCACATACTTCAGTTGGAGAAAAGGACTCTAGGACAGATTTCCTTTTAGGGTAAAATATAATTTTGGATAATTTTGAAACTAGAGAGGGGGATATATGTATATATATATTTTTTTTCTTAATTTGAACACTGTGTTTATTTTTTTCATTAAACTCTAATGAGTCTGTAAGTTTTTTTTGTTATTTTGTTTTATTTTGTTTTTTTCTGAGACAGAGTCTTGCGATGTAACTCTGTCTTGCTTGGAACTTGCTATTGTCAGGCTTGCCTTGAACTCAAGATCCTCCTACCTCAACCTCCCACGTGCTAGGATTACAGGATGTGTACCACCAGATGTAGCATCTAATGTATCTTCTTTAAAAAAAAAAAAAATCCTATCAATTTCTGCCTGTTCAGGTTCCAGGTATATTCCTCAACACACTAGTCCTTCCCTCTCTTATCTCTGTTCTCTTCCACTAACAAAGTGGCACTCATTTTATTTTATTTTTTTTAACCTGTACCACTTTAGCCATTTTTAAGTGTACAGGTCACTGGCATTAAGTACATTTACGTTGCTATGCAATTATTGCTACCATTCATCTTCTCCAACTGAAACTGTACCTATTGATTATTTTGAATGTATACCCAGAAGTGGAATTGCTGGATCATTTGTTAATTCTATGTTTAACGTTTTGAAGAAGACTTAGTAGTAGAATGCTTGCCTACCAAATATACTCCTGAGTCTTGAGTTAGAACCTCAGTACTAGCTGGGTGCTGATGACTTATGCCTGTAATCCTAGCTACTCAGGAGACAGAGATCAGGAAGATTGTGGTTAGAAGTCAGCCTGGGAAAATAGTTCGTGAGACCCTATCTTGAAAATACCCAACACAAAAAAGGGCTGGTGGAGTGACTCAAGTGGTAGAGTGCCTGCCTAGCAAGTGTTAAGGCCCTGAGTTCAAACCTTAGTACTGCCAAAATAAAAAAAATAAAATCTCAGTACTGCCAAAAATTGACCACATTTTCATATTGTACAATAAAAGAATCCTTTATATTTAAATGTCATTTAAATTTATATATTAAGATCATGTAGTTCTACTGCAATTCAGGGTTCTTTTAAGCCTTTTTATTAATTTCCTTTGAGTGTTATAATGTTGTTCCTTTTTCTTTTGTCCTCTCCCTGAATCCCAGGGTCGGCAGCTTCCCTGAATTCCTTCTTTGGTGTAATTATTTACGGCCCTGGGACCAGGGCCTCAGCTCATCTCAGCTCATCTCAGGTCCCAGGAGCCAAAGGCTTGCTTTAAGGGAGGAAGGAAGGAGAACTTTCCCTTGCTCTTTCCCCCTTTCAGGATGAGGACCAAGTACCAAAGAACCTCTGTCTTTTCCTGTCACACCTCCACATATGGTTCTAGGTCTTGAACTCAGGGCCTCACACTTGCTAGGCAGGCACTGTACCACTTGAGCCACTCTGCCAAGCCCTAAATTTTTAAATCAACTCTGCAGAAGGAATTTGTCAGTATAAATTCAAATTAGAGAATATCATATTGAAGATTATAAACTTAAGTGTATTTTCCTCTTTCTGTTCAAGATCAGTTGCCACTGTTGCTTAAATATAACCTTCTTTCCAAACAGCTGCTAGTTTTTCCTAAAACTCTGCAAAGTCAGACTTGCCTAAGAAAGCCCTTTAGATTTAATAGAAACATTATCCCCTACAGACAGTTGGAATCTAGAAGAGTTTAAAAATTAAATAGCTTTCCTTAGATTATATAACACCAAAAATCAGAACAGAAAGAGCATACCTAGAGGGAGGAACTAAATGACCTCTGAAGGTCTCTATGATTCTGTAACTTTAGACACTCCCACCTTTCTACTAGTCTTAGTAACAACATTTGAAGACAACCAATGCTTAAGTTTTTTCATGTTTTCAACAATTCTTTTTTTCAGGGAGGAGGTAAATGACAAATTACGGGACATGCCAGATGGTACCTTTTTGGTCCGAGATGCCTCAACAAAAATGCAGGGAGATTATACGTTAACTTTGAGGTAAGTACTTTTTCTCCTTTTGACTCTACCCTCCTAGAATTATTTTAGTTCCAGGTATGTACAGAGTTCTGTATATTATTTAAATCTTTATATACCTATTGTTTCATGTTTTAAATTAATTTAGATACATAATTTTCAGTTTGGCTAACTTTTTTCTTTGCATTAAATATTTAAACATCTTATATAAAAATGGGAACTATTTTTTTTAATGTACACTAAAATGAAAAATAAACCCCTAAATGTAAGGGAAGAAGATAAATTAAAGTAGAAGTCATGGGCACAGCTTATGGTTATTAATGAATCTGTCCCTTCAGAAACCCTATTAATTTCCTTAATGCAGACTTCAAGAAGTAGAACGCAACATAATTTTGGCTGATGAGGTATATAGAAGATAAAGCAGTTCTTAGCCTGTGTCATGCCTTTCAAGTGAGCATATTAGTTTTTCATAAGTGGTGGGTATATGACTTTTTATACTTACAAGGATGGAACATATATTAAAAATACATGAAGAAAAGCTGCATTAGATGTTTTCACATGTAATTTTAATGATTAAAATAGTTCAATTACAATAAAGTTTGAAGATTTGTTTGTATGTATCATTTTATGTATTTACTTATTTTGTGGTTCTGGGGATTGAACCCAGGGCCTCATACATGCTAGGTATATGCTTTACCACTGATCTATACCCCAGTCTCCTCCCACTTGTTTTGGAGATGAGGTGTTTGTCTGTGTTACCTAGGTTGCCCACTATCTCCTAGGCTAAAGTGATTTTCCTGCCTCAGCCTCCCAAGTAGCTGGGATTATAGGCACAAACCACCATGCTGCACTTTGGAGAATGGTTTTTCTTTTTGAGGGACAAAGTGACAGAGTTTTATTAGGAAAGGAAAGCACAAGAAAGAACAGACTCCTGTGTGGGAAGGGTTGGAGGAAAGCAGCCCAAGCCCTAGAAAATGCTAAGATGCTGTTTTAAACCTACATTCCTAATTACACCTAACTAAAAGCAACAATTTTTGTATCTTATGGATGAGAGGAAGAGCCTACAGTTTGGTAGCTTAAGCTGAAGTTGCAGTATTCTTTAGGAACAAAGACAAGCAAGGACTCCTCCTCAGTGCTTCCTACTCTAGAGCTAGAATTTTATGCTAGAGTCCTACAGAAAGCTTTAATATTTCCTAGTTCAACTGGGTTTCTCTGGATGTAGGAAGGAATTTCTTGAATAAGTCTTCTCAGAACAGGCCATGGAAGTAGCAAACAGACATAGGGAATGACATTTTCCTTTTGAGGCAGTCCATTTTATTATTGGGCAGCTGTAAAGTTTAGAGGATTTATCTTTGGTGTTTTGATAGGATTGGGAATATGGATATGCATAAGAAATGGTTTTACCCTGCAGAGTTTATAATTCAAGTGTGTAAATGGCGGAACAGCAGAAACACGTATGTAGTGTACCTTAATGTAGCATGCTAAGTGTTTTATTAGAATTCTCCCAATTTTCCCTTCTTCCTAACCCCTGGCAATCATTGTTCTCCTTTTTTTCTCTATGAATTTGACTATTTGAGGTACTTTATATAAGTAAAATCATATAACATTTATCCTTTTATATCTGATTTTTTTTCTTTGGGGAGAGGTTTTCTCAGAGGAAATGACAGTTGATCTGGACCTTGATGGATTTTGCTTGGTAGAAAAGTATTGGTCTTAATTCAATTTAATAAACCCTTGTAGCTCAGTGCTAAAAACAACAATTACTCTGAAGGGCAGCTAACAAGTTAACTTTTGTCTGAAGGATCACATAGACAAGTGAAGGCAAAGGGAGTAAGAAAACAGCTTATAATAGTTAAATTAACAGTAGAGGTTCAGACCATATATTTGGGGAGCTGAAAGAAGGAAAGGAAATATATTCTTAAGAGGATATATAAAACTAATCTTCATGGAAGGAATTGGATTTGCAGTGTTCCTTGAAGAAGGGAATACATTTGCACATTTAGAAACTGGGACTAGAGTTGCAGAAATAGATATTAATACTAGCAAAGATGTGCAGGTGAGAAATTATAGCCATGTTTTGTAAAATACCCTGTTTGGCTAGGTTAAAGTTTTAACTGTAAAAATGAGGAAGTAGTGGGCATAGAAGAATTGGAAAGGGGTCATATTCAAGAGGGCCCTAAATTGTAAAATTTGCAGTTTGTATTTAATATTTTAGGCAGGTAGGGGAAACTATTGCATTTTTCAGCAGGAAAATGATCAGGCTATTTTAGTAGAATAAACAAGGACAAATAAAGACTTAGGAGGCTTTTATGAAGTGAGAGGTAATGGTGATTGAGAATAAGATTTATTCCTCAACTTACTTAATATTTATTGAGTATCCACAATGTTTCATACTGTTATTGGCAAAGAAAATGATGAACAAGAAAGACATGGCTTCTCTCATCTAGTGCTTTTTTTTGTGAGGAAAGAGGGGTGGGGAGAGGAAGATAAAATAAACATATAAAAAGAAATGCGATAGCTTCACAGTGTATGAAGTACTGTATAGGGAGTATATATGATAGAGAATTTCTGGATAGAGAGCTTTAGGATGATGTGTGAGAACAGAAGTATTAAAAGAGCCAGCCAGAAAAATGTTCCAGGGAATGGGAAAAGAAAATGCAAAGACAAGGATTTGGGGAATATTTGATGGATCTGATGAATACAAAGACCATATTGTGGTTGATCTGAAATATAAACCAGAGTAGGTGATGAAGTTCAAACTAGAAGAGAGCAAGATCTGCAGAAAAGTTAATGAATCATGGGAAGGAATTTGAGAGATACAGACCCATTTGTCTAAAGTTAAATTTTATTTCTAAGTGCAAAAAAGTTGATAAAGACTTTGAAATTGGGATGACATGATCAAATGGTTGAATACACAGTTTCTTAGGATAGTGGCTGTAGGAAAGGACTTGAGTTAAGAGGCGATGTGGAGTTAAGACCAAATGGGATTTGGTGACAGTATAGGTATGTGGTTGGGGGAGTTGAAGGTGACTGTGATTTGAGCCTGCTAGGCTTAGAATGAATGTCCCATTTATAGAAATAAGAAAGTCAAGAATATGTTTATTTATTATTTTTTGATGTTGAATTTTAGCTGCCAGATAAAATGTATCTAGGATATACCTAGAAATGTGGGCTTAATGCTTAGGAGAGAGTTTAGGACCAGAAAAAGAGCCAGGTACCATATGTGTAGAACAAATGGAATTTTAAAAAGTGTATATAAAGAAAAGAAGGTAGAGGCTGAATGTAAATTTTTAAGGGAGTAATTATATTGGTAGTCAGGAAGACATTTATAGACAGGGGAAGAATAGTTTGAGAGGTTGAAAGCAAAGAGTAATGTCATCAAAGTCATGGGAAGACTTTGGGTCAGGTATTGGGTCAGGTATTAAGATGCAAGGAGGAATATCATGATTGGGTCAGGTATTAAGATGCAAGGAAGAATATCATGATTTTTCTGTTCAAGAAGATTAAAGTGAGGCAGAGAAAGACATGTATTCAAAATTCACCATTCCTTAATCCTTCAAATCCTCACTTCTGTGTGTCTGCTTAGAGTCAGTGATACATTATTAAAATTACCTTTGTCTTGTCTAGCATGTTCAGGACCCTGGTTTGATCCTAGTATCATAAGAAAAATGTTAATAAAATTACCTTTGTGAATATATCCTGAAAGCTTGCTCCTCTTTTCTTCTTTAATAGTCATCTAAATTCCAATGCTTCTTAAATTCTGCTTTCTACTTATTGCATTCCTATACATGGGCAGCTGAATGTGGGGAAAAAAAAAAAAAAACAATCCACACTGATTTTTTGACTACTGACCTTCAGTGGGCCAGCTTAATTTACACATTTCCACAATCTACTTATCTTCCCCACTTTCCTAGATGACATCTTCACATGTTCTTTTTGTCCTTTTCAAATCAACAAGACTTCTTCCCCCTTTTTAACTAAATAATTTGCTTCCTGTTTCACTGTGAATTGTAAATAGAGAACTCCCTTATACTCCTATTGCCAAAGGTATCAACTTGTTTGCCCATTAATGTGAATACTTTTATCATTTTCCTATTCTAGTGGATAACTGGTTATATTCTTGTTCAGAGTGCATATCTCTATTTGTGGACTGAATCCCATCCTATCCCTCTAATCCACTCAAGGGCATCACTCTTAAGAATTATCTTCTTTTTTTGGATTAGCAATTTTTGTCTCTCTACAGAGTCATTCCCATCAGCATATAAATATGATATGTATTATCTCATTTATAATTGAGAGATTTATTTTCTTATTTGTAAATAAATAAAATTTCCTTGACCATATTTCTCATTTCTAGCACTATTTCTTGATAAAGTTATCTATGGGTATTTACTCTTTTTCTTTTTTTTCCCCCCTTGGTAGTACTGCGGGCTTCATGATTGCTAGGCAGGCACTCTGTCACTTCAGCCATGTCCCCATCCCTCTTTCATTTTTTTTTAAAATCCATTTCAGTCAGGCTTTCATCCTTAGCATTCCAATGAAACCATTTAGTCATGGTCACTTATTGATCTTTAGTTTGCCAAACCCAGTGATCAATGAACCTGTTGATAGCTCCTCTTTGTTGAGATGCTTTTTTAAAAATTGATTTTTAGGATATCACATTCTCAGTTCTTCTCATACTTCATTAATTTTTCTCTTTCTTGGTTTCCTGTGCTTGTTGTTCCTCATATCCCTGACATTGGTGTGTACCCCAGGGTTCAGACCCTGAGCCTCTTCATTTGACTGTTATTCTTTTCAAATAACATCTGTAGCTTGACAGCTGAATTCATATCTCTAGTCCAGATCTTTGTATTGAACTTTAGACTCCTTAAGTAGCCTACCAGATCTTCTGCTTTTGAATGTTCAGTATCTTAAACTTAATTTGCTAGAACCAAACTTCTCCCCTTTTTGTGTAACTTTTTTGTCAATAAATGCTAATTCCATTCTTTTAGTTACTTTAAGAGAACAATTTTGGAATCATTTTTGTCTTCTCTCTCTTTCTCTCTTTCTCTGTCTCTCTCTCTGGTGGTACTAGGGTGTTGAACTCAGGGACACACTATCACTTGAGCTACTCCACCAGCCCTCGTGTTTTTCATATATAAGCTATTAATAAAAGCAGTTGCCTCTCTTTTGAAAATATATTAACAGTCTCTCCATTTCTTATTATCTCTACTGCTCCTACCCTTATCCAGGATACCATCATCTTTTGACTAGATTACTATAATAGTTTTCCAACTGGTCTTTCCACTTCTACCCCACCCACTTTGAACAGTCTCTTGACTCCTCAGCTAGAGTGAGCCTTTTAAACAACAGAATTATTATATCATCTGCTCAAACACCTCTTTTGGCTTCCTGTCTCATTCAAGAAAAGTCAAAGCCTTACAGTAGCCTATAGGCTATTACATGATCTAAGCTCCTTTAACATCTCTCACTTGTCTCTTACTGTTTTCTCTTTTGCTCATTCAGTCCCAGCCTCACTGCCCTCCTTCCTGTTCTTTAAATATGCCAAGTATGCTTCTACTTCAGGAGTTTTGCATTTACTCTTTCCTCTGTTAGGAAGATCTTTCCCTCAGATATCTGCTGTGCTACCTCCCTTATTTCATTTAAGACGGCACAAATGTCACCTGAACAAAGAGTTTTCCTTGAGCAACATGAATAAAACAGCGTTACCTCCACTGTTAGAATTATTTCTTCCTTTTACTTTGTTCTCCCTCCCACAGGACTTATTACCATATATCTAGTTGTCTATTTCTATTTTATTCATTTATGTATTTGGTTTTTCAAGACAGGCTTTCACTATGTAGCTGAGTTTGGCCTCAAACTTGCTATGTAGCCAAGGTTGGCCTTGAACTTAAAATCCTTTGATCTCTGCCTTTCAAGTGCTGGTATTACATATGTGTACCACCATGTCTGGATTATTTTTTATTTTGAGGATTTTTAAAAATCTTCATTAATAATCTAAAAGATGGGTATATGTTCCTCAAGTTCCATGAGAGCATGGGACCTTATCTGTCTTGTTTATCACTATATTCACAGTGCCTCCTATAATTCCTGGTACATGGTAGATGTTCAATGCATTATTTTAAATAAATGAATAATGCCTTTTAATTTTAAAAGAGACTAGCTTGCATTTAGTATGAGTATATGTGTGGGTGTACACATCTATAGTAACTAGATATGATTAAGTGGTCTTTCTAATTTATGTTTTATAGTAATAGTTAATCATCCATCTAAATACTGACATGCTAAGCATTGTTTAATTTAAACCAGTCCATATGTTCAAACCTGTGAGGTTGGCCTTTCACAAATCCCAATGCCTCATTTATTGTGTATAATAAACAGCATAGCATAAAGAAGAATACTTTTTTCCACTAAGTCTGCATGCTGTTATAAAGAGTTGAATTGTTATGATATAATGAGTCAACCTGCTGTAATTTTAGATGCCTTATGGGATTTGTAAAACATTGCTATTTTAAATTTTGATTATAAATTATCTTTGTTTTTCTTTTTTTTGGTTTTTTGAGACATGGATTTGCTATGTTATTCAAGGTAGCCTTGAACTTATGATCCTTCTACCTCAGTCTTTTGAATGCTGAGATCACAGATGTATGCCACCACACCCAGCCTTATAAGTTACTTTTTAAGGGACCATTTGGATGTGACTCAGTAAATAAAGGTGGTCTGAGCTACTTAAGCATCACATTATACCCATCTAATACCTGATTTGAATCCTTTACATGTTGTGATAGCCTAAATAGTCATTTCCAAGAATTATAGACAAGTTTAAAAGACAAAGTAATATCAGGTGCTAGATCAGTTATCTGTCTATAACTCATTCAAGAAGCTTAATTATGTTTGTGCAGTAATAATAAAACCTTAAGTGTGTTGGTAATAGCGTGACAAATATTTATTATCCTCCTTCAGATAGAGATGGCTTCTGCCTCCCTGCAAAGACCTGAGCCATCTTTTATTAGGTCTTAAAGAGATTATCTCTATTCTTTTTGAAAAAATATTGATAGAATTTAGATTAAACATTTAGAAAATAAAAGATACAATTTACTTCTGTTTTAGTTATTTTTCTTAAGTGATTTTTTTGGGGCTAAATTTGTTAATACAGAATGCTGTGTGATATGTTGACCTTTACTAAACAAGATATTTTATGAACAAAAGAAATAGGTGTGACAATAATTTCATGTATACTTTTCACACATGATTTATATATGTATCTTTATCACCTTCAGTTTTATTAGCATAGTAGAATATTTTATTATGTGAGCAAAACTTTCATAGCTCCATATGAAAGTAGTACTTTTAGTAGACTTTGGGGAAAAAAAAACTACAGTTGTTGTCTTGTTGTTTACAGGAAAGGAGGCAATAATAAGTTAATAAAGATCTATCATCGAGATGGTAAATATGGCTTTTCTGATCCGCTGACATTTAATTCTGTGGTGGAGCTCATTAACCACTATCATCATGAATCTCTTGCTCAGTACAATCCCAAACTTGATGTGAAATTGATGTACCCAGTGTCCAGATATCAACAGGTATGACCATGGAAGTTCTTGATAGCTATTGAGCAAGTAATTATTTAACATAATTTTATTCTATTTATCAAGCTTATTAGTTAAAAAAAGAAATCTAGTCATTTTAAATTTCCTAGTTAAGATTTTAGGTATTTTAATTTTGAAACTTACTCTGTAGCTACCGTTCCATAATAGCTTATTCTATGTACTAACTTTCTATAAAATACTTCTATTTATGCTTCCCACTTGTATGTCATTCCTCTGTTCTCTCTTCTTCTCCCTGGCCCTTTTCTCCTCTCCCCTGCTTTCTCCTCTCCAATAGGGTCTTACTAAGTAGCCCAGATTGTCCTTGAATTCCTGATCTTTCTGCCTCAGCCTCCCAAGTGCTGGGATTACAGGTGTGTGCCATCATGTCCAGCCTTCATTTCTTCTTTTTTGGCGGGGTGTGGGCTTGGGATTTAAACTCAGGGCTTTGTGCTTGCAGAACAGATGCTTGAAAAGCAGGCAGTCTAATGCTTCAGCCACACCTCTAGTCCATATTACTCTGGTTATTTTGGAGATGGCAGTCTCATGAACTATTTGCTTGGGCCACCTCAAACTCCTATTCTCCTGATCTCCACCTCCCAAGTAGCTAGGATTATAGGCATGAGCACCAACACCTGTTCACAGCCTTCATTTCTTATTTTTAAAGTATTAATTAGTTTTATGTGATTAAAAGGCTGACCTTAGCGTTAACACAAAGGATTTAGTACTTTTGCATCAATATAGTGGCTTGAGCTTCTAAAATTGAAATACAATATAAAAATAGACATGGAAAAATGTGTCAGAATTGTTAACATTCTTTACTTCTTTTGTTTGCTTGAATAGGATCAGTTGGTAAAAGAAGATAACATTGATGCAGTAGGTAAAAAACTGCAAGAGTACCACTCACAGTATCAGGAAAAGAGTAAAGAGTATGACAGACTGTATGAAGAATATACCAGAACATCCCAGGTTAGTATATTTTTGTTGTCTGGGCTAATAAGTATGTAATATTACAGTTACATTACATGAGATTTTTTTAATTCACTTGATGATCTTCAGTTGTCTTAATATCTTAAAACTAGCCAGTTTAGAGACTTTGATCATATAAATCCACCCATTCATAAATGGCTTTTTTTATTGATTAAGGATATAATTTTGTTATCAGTTAATATTAACTAGTTAGTATTAAGTGACAGAAAATAACAAAATGACAAAGTCTTCAGGTAGAAATTTATTTTTCTTCCATATATATCAGCAGTACAAGGGTATTATGACAACTCCACATTTATTAGGACCTATTGGCTTCTTCTGTTTTGGTACTTCTCTGTCTGTGCAATTTGGTTCACTCTAATATTAGTCATCATAACCATATTCTAATAAACAAAAAGGAAGAATAGGAAGGAGAAAGGAAGTTTTTCTGTTTTTAAGGCAACTTCCTAAAAGGAGCACACTGCTATCACTTTTATCCCACTAGCTAGAACTTAGTGTGTGTCCACACTCAGCTGCAGGTCACAGCTAGCTGTGTGAGAGACTGAGAAATCTCATCTTTATTTGATTAGGTGTGCTCAGCTATTATTTAGGAGTTTCCTGAGTGAATGAATGGAAATTGTGAGAATTTAAGTACCACAGAAACCAGTATTAAGTATTTTATATTAATGGTATTGAGCAAAATTCTGTAGAATAATCTAGTTCTTTTCCTAGAACTCCTTATTTTGATTGCTACTTAGATTCTTTTATGGCTGGATTTGGATTGGTTTAATTTGCCCTAAGTTGTTATATAGCACATAAAAGGTATTAATTTTGATGAAGGCATAAGTTTTTTTTTTATTCTCATTATAGTACTGGGAGTAAAGCACATACTATTGAAACACAAGGTTACTACTTTGGACATCAAATGATTTATAGGAGCATTAGTTTTTGTTGATTTTACTAAAGTCCATGTGGATTCTCATAAGAAAATAACTTGCCTGAATCCTTTCTAGTAGATAAGAGTAATGGATTTTTAGGGTTATTTTCTATGTCATGGATTTCTGCTCTTTATTTTTTCTTTTCTTTGCCTTCTTTTGGTCTAATTTACTTTCTTATAAGTTCTTAAAGTATAATTTTTATTAATTGGTTTTAAAACCTTGTTATTTTCTAAAATGAGTATTTAAAGCTATAAATTTCTCTTTGAGCATTGCCTTAGGTATATCTTAAAAGTTTTGTTATACTGTAATTTTTTATTTTCTCATTTCCCTTATAATTCCTTCTTTGGTCCATGTGTTATTTAACTTCTTTTCTTCTCCCTCCCTCCCTCAGCTTGCAAGGCAGGCATTCTACTGCTTAAGCCACACCTCTGCTCTGTTTTGCTGTGGTTATTTTACAGATGGAGTCTTAAGAACTATTTGCCAGGGCTGGCCCTAAACTTCGATTCTCCCATTCTTAGCCTTCCAAATAGCTAGATGTGAGCCACCAGTATCTGGCAGGCTTTACCTTCTGAATTTAACACAGTCTATTTAGAGTTTATATTTTACCATGTATCATGTGAATGTAAGTAACTTGCAACCGCATCGTTCTGTTTTCACCTCCTGTAAACTACATGGTAACCCTACAATTCAAGGTTACAGTGGTTGCATTAAGCATTTCATTTTCTTTTAAAGAGATTTAGAGAAGAAAAGAAAAGAGGGTCTTTTGTATTTACTCACATATCTACTATTTCTGGAATTCTCTATTTCTTCCTATAAATGTAGGCTTTTATCTGGTATCATTTGACTTGAGCCTGAAGAACACACTTCTTGTAGGACAGGTCATTTGGCAACAAATTCTCTCAGCTTTCATTAATCTAATAATAGAATGTCTGTATTTTGCTTTCTTTTTTCTGCCTTCATTAAATGTGATAAAATATATGTAAAATATTTGTATTTCTAGCAATTCATAAGGGTATAATTCAGTAGTATTAAATACATTTACAATGTTGTATAACCATCATCACTTTCTATACTCAAAATTTTTTTATCATCTATAATAAAAGCTTTGTACCCATTAAATATTGAGCCTCCTTAACTTCTACTAACCTCTACCTTCCAAGTCTATTAATCTGCCTATTTTAGATACTGTAAAATATTTGTACTTCTGTGCCTTGGCTTATTTTTCTATATGTGTTTTCAAGGTCTGTTCACAGTATGTATATACCAAAATACACTCTTTTTATGGCTGAGTAATATTCCATTATATGTGTACCACATTTTGTTTATCCATTCATCAGTTGATAGACATTTGGATTATTTGTAGCATTTGGCTGTTGTGAATAATGCTGATTCTTTTGTATACATAATTAGTAACAGAACTGTTGAGTGGTATAATGGTTCTATGTTTAACCTTCTGAGAAACTGCTGTAGTGTTTTTCACAATGGCTAGCCTATTACATTCCTATTGGCAATGCATGAGGTTTCTATTTTCTCCATTACATCCCTAAGACTTTTTTTTTGTTGTGTGTATTTTTAAAAATAGCCATCCTAGTAGTTGTGACATAGTGTCTCATTGCTTATTTCTTATTGTTGAGTTTTAGAAATTTTAATATTTTATATATATATAAAATATTAAATATATATATTAAATATATATGTATATATTATATATGCATATATATATAGTATTTCTGGAGTTTGAACTCAGGCCTTTGTCTTGCTAGGCAGGTGCTCTACCATTTCTGCATTCTAGGATGCCTGAAGGCTCTGGGAGAGGATCTTTTTTGCTTCTTCCTTGTCTCTGGTGGTTGCTGGTGATTCTTGCCATTCTTTGGCTTATGATGCATTAGTCCAATCTCTGCCCCCATTATCAATGGCATTCTTTCTCTGTGTCTCTGTCTTCTCTAGTGACACTAGTCACTAGATTAGAATCTACCATTAAGATGAAATCATCTTAATTTACTAAGTACATTTACTAACTACATTTGTAAAGATTTTATTTCCCAATAAAGTCACATTCTAAGTTCCCAGGAATCAGGACTTGAAAATACCTTTTGTGGGGCTGGAGGCATGACTAACGTGGTAGACTACCTGCATAGCAAGCTTGAGGCCCTAAGTTCAATCCCCAGTACCGCCACAAAAAAAAATGTTTTGGGAGACACAAGTTAATCTTTAATGTGACCTTCATCATGTAAAGGTAGTTCTTTTTTGTTCCTTGCTTTTGTTTTTATCATGAAAGAGTCTTAGATTTTTGTCAAGCTTTTTCTGCATCATTTAAGATGATCATTTTTTTTTTTCTTCCTTCATTTTATTAGTGCTGCGTATTACCTTGATTTGTGTTGTTGAACCATCCTTGTATTCTCGGGATACATTCCCCATGGTCATGGTGTACAGCTCTCTTAATATGATGCTGAATTCATCTAGTACTTTGTTGAAGATTTTTGTACCTAGGTTCATAAAGGATAATGCTCTATAGCTTTTGTGTAGTATCTTGGTCTGACTTTAGTTTCTGAGTAATGATGGCCTCACAGGATAAGGAGTGGTTTTTTAAAAATTTTTTTGGAAGAGTTTGAGAAGGATTGATATTCTTTAAATATTTGATAAGTTCACTAGTGAAGCCATCTGGTCCTGTGATTTTCTTTGTTGAGAGGCTTTGATTATTGACTAATCTCCTTACTTTATAGGTCTATTCATATTTTCCATTCTTGAGTCAAATTTAGTAGTTTGTTTGCTTCTAGGAATTTGTCTAGGTTATCCAATTTATGATTTGAATGTGCTCCCAAGGTTCATGTATTGGAAATTTAATCCCCAATGTAAAAATGTTGTGAAGTGGGACCGTTAGGAGGTGATTAGGCCACGACAGCTTTGCCCTCATGTATAGATTAATATTATTATCCTGGGAATAGTTTTTTTTTTTTTTTGCTGTACTAGGGTTTAAACTCAGGGCTTACACGTTGACTCATTCCACCAGCCCTTTTTTTGTGATGGATTTTTTTTTGAGATAGGATCTTGTAAGCTATTTGCCTGGGCTGGCTTTAAACTGCAATCCTCCTGATATTTGCCTACTGAGTCGCTAGGATTATAGGTGGGCGGCACCGGCATGTGGCTTCTAGTTTTTCTTCTGCCATTGATTTCTGATTTCATTCCATGTGGGTTGGAAAAGACATTTTGTATGATTTTAAGTTTCTTAAAAATTTATTAAACTTGTTTTGTAGCTTAACATGCTTTATCCTAGAGAATAATCCATTTGTACTTGAGAATAATATGTGTTCTGCTGTTGCTTTGTGGAGTGTTCTGTATTATGTCTGTCATGTGTACTTGGTTTAGCTTATTATTCAATACCTTCTGAATAGTACATAAACACTCCCCTCCTATGCATTTCTTCCCCTGCTCTTTTATATTGTTATATACTGTCAAAGATTATATTTTTATAAATTTTATGCCTATTAACAGATTTATAGTGATAATTTTGTAATTTACCTCTTAAAGCATATAAAATAAAAGAGGCAGAGCTGGGGATGTAGAGCAGTGAGAAGTGGTTGCCTAAACATATATAAGGCCCTGGATTTGATCTCCAGCACTGGAAGAAAAAGAAACCCCAATGTAATAGCTATCAAACCTTATATTATGCTTGGCCATTTCACTATCTTCTAGTGTTGACCACTTAAGCAGATTCAATCTACTGAAATCTCAACAACTTTTTCCCCATTACACTTCCAAACACTGGTCCCATCACAGATAATTCATCTACAAGTGCTAAAGTAAAAAAGAGAAGTTGAAGTTTGAAACGGAGCACACACACACACACAGGCACACAGGCACACTTCAGACACAGCACAAATATCAAGAAAAGTAGCAAGAAGAAAAAGGTCAGTATAATTCTGAATAACTAAAAAAACCTTAAAGATAACGGGGAATCAAATATTTTTCATAGGAAGATGAGCCAACACAGCATTTCTAGCCATTCTAGTCCCATACTTTTTTAAGTCATAACTATGTTATTCCACCTCAAGGTTGTTTCACCTTTAGCCTTCCCTATATCAATTGAGCATAGTCATACCTTTCTTCTTGCTCAGGCCAAAAGCCTTGGCATTATTCTAGACTCTCTGTTTTATCCCTTAGATCCAGTCAATCAAGAATTCCTGTTTACTTTATCTTTAGCATATTCTGGGAATCTAACCCCTTCTCACCACCTCCACTGCTAACACCTTGGTCTAAGCTATAGCTACCATTATTTCTTACCTCGTGTGTTAGCTTTCTGTCCCTGTGACAAAGTACCTGAGAAAAATCAGCATAGGAGGAAGAAAGGTTTATTTTGTCTCATAGTTTCAGAGTTCAGTCCATGGTTGCTAGACCCTGTTGCTTTGGGCCCATGGTGGCATCAGGGATCTATGGCCATGGAGGCCTGCTCACTCTGTGGTGGCCAGGAAACAAAGAAGAGAGGGAGGAACTAGAATCCTAATGTCCCCCAATAACCTAACTTCCTTCCACTTGGTTCTCCCTCCCTTAAGGTTCTACTGTCTCCCAGCAGTGCCCCCCAACAGCCTGGCAACTGCTAAGCCTTCAACACATGAACTTTGGGGAACATTCCAAATCCAAAGCATAATACCTGGAGTTACTACAGAAACCTCCTCTGATTCATGTTCTTGCCCTTATCTATGCTCCCTGAAATAATTTCTCAATATCGTGGTCAGGGTGCTTTTTGTAAAACATTAGTCAAATTATAGCACTCCTCTGCTTAAAAAGACTGTGGTTGCATATATTCCACAAAGTAAAAGGCAGAGTCCTTTCTGTGATGCCCAATATAATCTGTGCCCCTCTTCCTCTCTGACCTTGTTTCTTACAACTGTCTTCTCACTCACTGTGTTGCTCCATCTTTACTGGACTCCCCACTGTTCCTCAGATATGCTGTACCTGTTGCACTGCCTGTTTCTTTGCCTGGAACACTTTTCTCCCAGATAATTGCTTTGCCTCTGCATTCCTTCAAGTCTGCTCAAATGTCATCACCTCAATAAGGCCTACTTGGCAACTTTATTTAAAATTGCACTTCTTAGCCTGTGTTTATGCCTGTAATCCTAGCACCTAGGAGGCTGAGGCAGAAGGATCAAGAGTTTGAGGGCAGCCTGGGCTGCATAGTGAGACCCTATCTCAAAAACCAAACAAAAATCCCTCCAAAATACATAATAAAGTTGCAACTTGCATTCATATTCTCCCTTTCCACTCTGCTTTTCCTTCATAATAATTCTTACCTCCTTAAAAAAGCTGTGCAATTTACTTATTTTGTCTGTTGTTTTTTATCTGTTTCATGAGGGTAGAAATCTTTTTTTTTTTTTTTAATGGGACTGGGGTTTGAACTCAGGGCTTCACACTTACAAACCAGGTGCTCTACGGCTTGAGCCACACCTCCAATCCATTTTGCTCTGGTTATTTTGGGGAAAGGGTCTCTCAAGCTTATTTTTGCCTAGGCTGGCCTCCAACTGTGATTCTGTCGATCTCTGCCTCCCAAGTAGTTAGGATTATAGGTGTGAGCCACTGGTGCTCAGCAAATGTAGAAATTAGAAATTTTTGTCTAAGATTGTTCCTATATCCCAAATGCTTCAAATAATACCTGGCATATGTTAGTGTTCAATTATTTGTTAAATGAATTTGTGTAAGATAATGAACCACAAACACTTTACCCTTGCCAAGGGCCTGGAATCAGACTCATTATATAAACTGAAGTCTAACAGAGGGCTTACCTTCCTGTGAACAAAGGCTAGAAAAAAATGGCCACTGATGCATATGACTTTGGCTTGCATTGAGCTGCATTTCTGCTTTTTTGCCATGGCCATAGAAAAGCAGAGAAAGCTCCATATGCTATCCACATGTTCAATAATTGGAGGATTTAACTGCAGAAAAGGAATCCTGAGCAGCCTGATATGAGACTTGGTGCTGGACTTAGAATCCTCAGGTTGGGGAGCTGGGTTTGGGAGTAGATAGTGGCAACCAATAAAGCCACTAAAAGGCTGTAAGAGGACTAAATTTCTATATGTGAGAGTTGGAGCAAGATTTGAGTAGTGGCTGGGCAGAGAAGAGCCATGGTGGAGGCTTAAAGCTTTGGGAGGTGGGAAAAGAAAGAGGGACCCAGTGATAAGAAGTACAGGAGACATGCTATGAAAATAAGTGTTAAAGGAGGTTTAAAGAGTTGATGTTGGGATAGTTGACATCTAGATTATATATAATGCTGGTGTAGTGACTTAAGTGGTAGAGCACCTGCCTAACAAGCATGGTGCCCTGAGTTCAAACCCCAGTACCCACACACAAAAAACCAAACAAACTACATTATGTATAATTAGGAAAAATAGTGATGGACTGGGATAAGAGAGAGGAATTTAGCCAGGCGCTGGTGGCCCATGCCTATAATCCTAGCTTCTTGGGAAACTAAGATTGGGAGGAATTGCAGTTTGAGGCCAGCATGAGCAAAAGGTTAGTGAGAACCCATTTCAACCAATAACTGGGTGCAGTGGCACATATTTGTCATCTCATCTACTGTGGGAAGCATAAACTTGGAGGATCACAGTCAAGACTGGCCTGGGCAAAAAGCAAGACACTATCTCCAAAATAACCAGAGCAAAAAGGGCTGGAGGCGTGGCTCAAGTGGTAGAGCACCTGCCTAGTAAAATCAAAGCCTTGAGTTTAAAAAAGAGAGAGAGAGAAAGGAATTTGGTAATGAAGATATTATTGATAACCTTGAAAAGTGTAGTCTGTGTGGAATGCTAAGTGCAAAAGCCAAGACAGAATGAATTGATATGAATGGGAATTGAGGAAAAAGAGATAGCCCACGTAAACAGTTCTGTCAAGCTTAACTATTACACTCCAAGTGAATTTAGGAGTAAGAGGGTTTTTCCCCAAAGTGGTATAACCAGAACTTATTTGTATACCAATGAGAAGGAACATGAGACTGGGAAAGTTAGTGATATTAGAGAGGTTGGCAAATGTGGTAGAGTGAAGTAACTGAAAAGGGAAGAGGAGGTGAGATCCACAGCACTTATAGATAAAGGAAGGAGAAGGTAAGGAAGGGGTACAGATATAGGTGGGTTTATAGTTTTTTGTGATAGGTGTAATGGCGTTGTTTATGGGAAAGCTACTGATTTGGTAGTGATATTGAATACTTTTCCCATTGCTGCTCTATCTACCAGTACATATACTAGTATTAGTAGAATATAAATTATTGGTATTTTCTTTGAAGATCCACTCTGGGGCTTTACAGGTAACTTCTAATCTTGCAAGGGAGGAAAGACCTTCCACTATAATTTGGGTTAACTATAATTAAAGAGTTGTAGAATTTGTAGCTACAGATTTGGGTGTGGGCATTCCAGCAGTGTTCAGTTTAGAGATGTATGGTATAACCTCAACTGTATGGAGCAGCACAAGCTTTTGGCCTACCTCATCTGCTAATGTTACCTCTTATTATCCAGTACTGCTGAACAATTATTGATCCCAGAATTTGTCCTATTATTTCATGTATACACCATACTTTGCCTCCTGTGAACAGGCATTTTCTTCCTCTACCCTAATTCTTTAAAACCTATTTTAAATGTCACCTCCTCTCTGAAGCCTCAATAAAGGCTGCAATAAATAAAGCTGAGTACAGTAATGCATGCCTATAATTCTAGCACTTGGAGGCTGAGGCAGGAGGATCATGAGTTTGAGGTCTACCTGGGCTACACAGTGAGATCCTGTCTCAAAAAACAAACAAACAATTAAGCTTCACTTTTTTGCCTGTACCGTGACATTAATCCCAACCCTTACTAAGAGATGAAGAATTTGTTCCACTTGTATATTCTGAGTCCTAGAGGGCAGGCTTCCTGCTTACAAATGTCTTTGTAATCCATCAGGTGGTACTTTCTGTGTAGTGTATTCTCAATAATCATTAGTTGGGATTAATAAATACTAGATAGTTGAGGAATTATCCCACCAGCATCAAAACTTCTAGAATCACAAGTATTCAGGATAAAAATCTTTATGCATTTTTATTGCCTTTCTAGAAAGTAAACTTAAGAACAAAATTTAGCCCTTTTTGAAGGTTTGAGGGTAATCGTGATTCAGATGCTAAAGTCTACTAAAGTCTTCAGAGTTCATTGAAATATACAGGACTATTTGCTCTGATGCTGAGTGGCCTAAACTAAGTGGACTTTGGAATTATTAAGTCTGTTTTGTAAAGTTTTTAGTTTTTCATTTTATTTTTATGGCATCCTATTTTAGCAGCTATTCTCGCCCCCTTTTTATTTCTTGCTTCTAATCAGATTGATCTACTAATGAACCTGTTTGGAGAGCTCACCATGTGCTTTAGAAAGAAAAGTCAGACTATAGGGTTCTTTTGGGAATAAGGCTTTGCACTTGGTTTGGCACATGGACTCCTTAGCTCTATCCATTCACTGTTTCAGTACCTTTTGGGGGTCAGCACTACAATAATAGATGCAAAGGCAGAACTTGATGCTTGTTGTTAAGGTGTTCAAGGTCAATCTATCTTGGCAGCTCAGAGGCCTTTCTGTGGTTCGTAGCCATATTTTAAGTAATGGTTCTGTTCCATTATTTTTATAGTTTTAATGATGTATTTTGCATGTAAGTAATAGGGTCGGGGTTGAATAAAGGGTCTTGTTTTAGCCCTCTTAGTGGGTCTTATAATTCTTTTTATTTTTAGTGCTGGGGATTGAACCTACACCTTGCACATACTAAGCAAGGTCTTTACTAGTGAGCCACATCTCCAACCTGCTTAATTGGTCTTATAGGATTATAAGTAGAATTATAAGATTTAAGACCAAGGTTGTAAAAATAACAAAGATAATGAAGTATATGTTATTTCTTTCTACCTCCTATAGGAAATACAGATGAAGAGGACTGCAATTGAAGCTTTTAATGAAACAATTAAAATTTTTGAGGAGCAATGTCACACACAAGAACAACATAGCAAAGAATATATTGAGCGATTTCGACGAGAGGGGAATGAAAAAGAGATTGAACGGTAAATCTACTTAATACCTCCAAATAAATTAGTGGTAGAAGACCTCTTTTGCTTCCAAATCATTTCTAACTTGCCCAGTCCTGCTCTATAGAACTACTTACTGTTTATACTAATGGCACCAAATTGAATTTCCTCTCATCTCTTTCTCTGTCCCTCTAAATTATTAACTCTAGCTTATCCTAGAGCACTCAGTTTAGAAATTATTTTTTTCAGAAAATCTTCCCTGATTCCTCAGACCACTTTAGTGACTTTTTTTTGTCAGTGCCCTTACAGTATATGGTCCTAATCTGTAGTGTGACATTTTCTGAATGCCATGCCTTTTCAGCTGCAAACTCATTGAGAATTAGTCATGGTGACTTATTTCCCCTGGTAAAGCCCAGCACCTATATGGAGTCTGGAAGTATATAATGGGTGCTCACTGAATATTTTTTTGATCTGAAATTTAATGTTGGTAGTCACCTAATAATAAATTAGAATGGAATAATACTGTAGGCAGAAAAACTAGTCTTAACTGTTAAAGAGGCGTCAATGAATGTGGTTATCAGATTAAAAGACGGTGTGGGCCTCGATTAGAGAAATAGCAGGAAAAAAGGAGGTGTTAATAGAAATGCTGAGGACTTGATAGTGGATGATGAGAGAAGTCAAAGATTATCCCTCGATTTCTGGTGTGAGTGACTGGGAGATGGTATATAGGGAGTATACACTAAAATAGGAAGTATATGAGGAGAGTCCAAGGTAGGAACCTACAACTTTGATGCTCCTGTGAGAGCCCAAATGAGAGGCAGATTGGCCTTAGGTGTACAGAAAGGATTTGGAAACATACGTGTGCAGGTGATGATAGATGCTAAGAATGAGATTACATAGAGAGAGCAAGCAGCATGAGAATTATTGGATTTGTTAAATAAGTGAGCCGTCAGAAGCCTTTATCAAAACAAATTTAGTGGAATATTAAAAACTGAGTTAGATTATAGTGGTATGAGGCGTGAAAAAGCATGGAAAAATGGGGACAAAGTAAAAGTAAATAATATATAATGGCAAAGCAAAATTACTTCTTAGGCTAAGACCACATTGTAAGCCAACTTTTGTGTTAATGAGTATGAAGTAGATGTTAGTTCAGTGGTTAAAACCATGGACTAAACTGGGTATTGGGGTATATGACTGTAATCCTCAGCCCTTGGGAGGCAGAGGCAGGAGACTTGTGAGTTTGAGACCAGCCTAGGCTGTATAGTGAGACCCTGTCTCAAAAAACAAATAAGATTCTGTAAACTTGAATTACTAGTTTTGTAACTTTGGGCAAGTTGTTTAATCTGTGTCTGTTTCCTCCTCCATAAACTATGGATAATATCTTGATGGAATGCATAAGGATTAAACTACATATTACTGAGTGACAAGTGAGTAATGTGAGTAATTGCTACCATAAAAATTCAGAGCATAGAAAACTTTGTGTGCTGGAAAAGCTTATAGCCATCATCTAATGAGTGCTTACCAAAATGTGCTAGGCAATGTTCTAGTTCTTTTACATGTATTATCACATTTAATTAACACAGTAATTTAATGAAGGTAGGAATTGTCTTAAGTGCCCATTTTAAGCAGATGAGGAAATGAAAGCACAGAGAAGTTAAATAACCTGCCCATAGCCCCACAGTGCCGGGGTTAGAGATTAAACCTAAGTAGACTGTCTGCAGAGCCATTGTTTTTAACTGTTCTCCTGTGCTTTCTCTTAAATATCAAACATATAGCCAGGCATGATGGTACACACTGTAATCGCAGTACTTGGGAGGCTAAGGCAGGAGGATGGAGAGTTCAAGGTCAGCCTGGGCTACATAGCAAGACTCTGTCTCAAAAAAACAAACAAACAAAAAAACCTAAGAAACAACAACAACAAATTGTATGTATAGCTTTACTTAGTCATGGCTGAATTCAGGGCCCAAACAAGGTTATTGGGATTTTTTTGCACATTGTCTTTTGGCTCAATTTTATTCTGAGTTGGCTTTATCCTCAAGCAGGCTTTCCCTTATATAGTGGAAGTATAGCTTCTGGGAATCCCAGAATCACATAGTCATAACTTAGGGGAAAAGAGAGAATCTATTTTTACAACAGTTTTAGCAAAGGTCCTAGAATTCAGTCTCCTTGAGTCAGTTAGGGTTTTATTATCATTACTGAACCAGTAACTGGTCTGAGGATAAGAATGGGATGAAATGGAACACTCTTAATAGTCAGTCTGGGATGTGTGTGTATATGTGTATGTCACCTACCTCTGAATCTGAGATGGGGGCAGAGAACTGTTACCTACAGGAAACATCAGGGTGGTATAACTAGAGTAGGACTGATCTAGGCAAAACCAAGAAATGGTCTACCATATTTATGATGTTAAGATACTTGCTGGGTATGCAGGTGTGCCCCTGTAGTCCCAGCTACTTCAGAGGCTGAGGCAGGAGTATTGTTTGAGCCCAGGAGTTCAAGGCTAGCCTATGCAACATAATGAAACACTGCCCCGCTTCCAGAAAAAATATATAATATACACGTTAGGAACATGTTTATACTTTAGGATCCTACTGCTTATTTGTTATTTTAGCCTTAATATGTCAAATATTTTCACAGAATTATGATGAATTATGATAAATTGAAATCACGTCTTGGTGAGATTCATGATAGCAAAATGCGACTAGAGCAAGATTTGAAGAAACAAGCTTTGGACAACCGGGAAATAGATAAAAAAATGAATAGCATCAAACCTGACCTGATCCAGCTGCGTAAGATCCGAGATCAGCATCTTGTGTAAGTAGTTTGGGACCATATCGGGAATGAAACGCTAGCATCAAATTACTTCTGGAACTAGAGATGTTATGGGTGGAAGAAGAGATTTATAATTGAAAACAGAGATTTTAAGAATTTTAGGATTCAGCCATTAGTAATAAGGGGTCCCAGAATGGGGCAAACCAGAATGTAGGCCTCTGCTTCATGCAAATAAATGCCTGGGAAATCTCAGAGGGTGGCTGTTGTGTGAGCAAAATGATACAGGTTAAAAAGTACAGATTAACGTTTGCCTAAAATACAAAAACTGGAATAGTTGGTTACATGGTACAACCATAGAAAGAGAAATTACCTCTCAGAGGCACTAACATTAGGAGCCTACAAATAAGTAAACAGAGCAATTTCTTAAATGTTTTTTATACTTAAGAAATGAAATTCTGCATTTAAATGACAGCGATGTGTCCACAGAGGCAGTTGAGTAGTGAAACCCAGCTCTTTAATGTGAGGGGCAGGTATATAATTTAGCCAAATGTAGGCATAGGGAGGTTGTCCAAATAGAAACCAAAAGACACATTATGGGCTGGAGTGGCTCAGGCAGTAAGAGCGCCTGCCTACCAAGCATGAGGCCTCAAGTTCAAACCCCAGTGCTGCAAAAAAAAAAAAAAAGGACACATTATCAAAACAAAATATGTGGCTTGGACTTTTAGAATGACAAATGACTGGATCGTAGAGGGAAAGAGTCCAGGAGAAAGGAAAATACATTAGGTTTTGTTCTGGGTAATGAATAGATTGTTAAGAAATAATAGATAAAACACTACTCAATTCAAACTCCTGGCAGGAGAAAACAAGAGTTTTTTCTAAAACCTAAGTCCTTTGACTCTAGATTTTCCCTAGACTTCAGAGTTTCTTTGTATGAAAAAGGGGAAAGGCCTAGATGTTTAGAACCGTGGCAGATGATTTTAAGTAAAGGAAATTTTAGGTGACTTTTTGGTGGTAGACAATTACAAAAACATTATACTGCACAGGGTTTTTTTTTGTTTTTTTTTTTTGGGCGGGGGGACTGGGGTTTGAACTCAGGGCCTCTCACTTGCTAGGCAGGTGTTCTACCACTTGAGCCATGCTGGGTGGTTTTTAATAACATATATCTCAAGAGAATATTTTAGTATGCTATTGTGGCCAAAAGAAAAAAAATCAAGCTAGTGTACATAGTATGCAGAAGAGCTTTGTAAATAAAACAGGTATATGTCCTTATCTAAAAGGAATATGTATGTTCTTGGAATGCTTATGTAGCTCTGATTATATCATGAAGTTGAAGAAAGGCCCAAGAGGGCTATGCCCTGGACCAAAGAAAATACTTCTTTCCCCTGAAAAACAATAAAGATATTAGGAAATATACCATCACAGGGGGCATGAATAAGTTTAGTGTGTTAGTCCATTCAGATAGCTATAACAAAATATATGATAAATTTAGTAGCTCATATACAACAACAGTTCCTCAAGTTCTAGAAGCTGGGAAATCTAAGATCAAGACACTAGCAGATTCTGTATCTGGTGAGGGCCTACTCTGTGGTTCATCGATAGTGCCTTCTAGCCATGTCCTTACATGGTGGAAGCAGTGAGGGATCCCTCTCAGGTCTCTTTTATAAGGACACTAAGGACCTGTTCATGAGGGCTGTCCTTCCATGATCTAACTAACTCCCTCGGGGATGAGGACTTCACCATGTGAATTTTCAGAGGACACAAACATTCAGACCATAGAATGTTGACAAACCAAACCTTGAATGTTCCTTAACAGGTTGTATAAGCTAAATATAAAAGAGTTTAGGTAACACCATGGATGACAAAGCCATGACCTGCTAGTAAGGACAACTTGGATGTTTAGGGAGATACATAGTCATTAGCTGTTTTGGAAGGGTTGCTTCAGGAAGATAGTCTAGAATCCCATAATCCATATTTACATGTTTCTAACAGAAAGCTGTCTCTAGGGTTCATGAACTAGATCTGTTCTAATGTTGTAGTTTGTGTAATCAGTCTTGATGAAGACTTGTCATAAAATAGGTATTACATATTAGTGTTGTTGCATGACATTGAGTATGATCTGTCTTTGGTCCTGTTTTGAAGTTTCAATAGGTTAGAATTCTGTAATACCCAACTAGAGATTGTCATTAGTTCATCAAGCTCTCTTTGGGTATAGACATTGCCCTGACTCCCATTACTGCTTATGTGATTCCCTGCTGAGATCATGATGTACTGTTTCTAAGATATTTTTGAATGCTTAAGTACAAAATTTTGTTTCTTAAATATAGAAAAAGACCTGTACTAGATAATTCCATTTATTTGAAGTTAAAGAATAGGCAAAAATCTAACTATGGTGATAAAATAAGAATAGTGATACTGGTCTGGTGCTATGACTCAAATGGTAAAGCTCCTGCTTTACAAGTGCAAAGCCCTGAATTCAAATCCCTGACCCACCAAAAAAAAAAGAATAGTGATTACTTACTGTGAGGGTGGGGAGTATCAATAGGAAAATGGCTCTTGATCTGAGTTACATGGATTTATATACATATAAAATTCATATCTGTACATGTAAGATGGGGCTGGCAGAATGGCTCAAGTGGTAGAGTGCCTGCCTAGCAACCGTGAGGCCTGAGTTCAAATCCCAATACCACCAAAAAAGAAAAAAAAAGGAATATGGCTGTTTGCATGTAGTTCTTTTCCATCGTGAGTTAAGGATAGTTTTCATGACCATTTACCTTTCTTGGTGTTCATAAACCTAAATTCATAAATTAAAAAAAAAGAATAGCTTGCATTAATGAGAAGTTCTGAGTAACATGTACAAGGGGAGTTTGCAGCCAAAGGAGTACTGCAGAGGGTGGTATGTTCTGTTTTCCTTTTTTGTAACTTTTTCCAGATATAATTTACATCTCATACAATTTACCCATTTAAAGTATTTAATGCAGTGTTTTTAGTGTATTCATAGGTACTTGCACTTATTACCTTCTATTTAAGAACATTTTCATCACCATTAAAAAAAAATTCTGTAACTTTTACTTATCATCCCTATCATCCTGTCCCTCCAGCTCTAAGCAACCACTAATCTACTTTATATCTTTATGTATTTGCCTATTCAGGACATTTTATATAAATTAAAACGTGTAGTCGTTTATGATTGGCTTCTTGCACTTAATGTTTTCAAGATTCATACATGTATCATTCCTTTTTATGGCCACATAGTATTCCATTATGTGGATAGAGCACATTTTGTTTAACCATCATCAACTGCTGAACATTTGGGTTGTTCTTACTTTTTGAGTACTTTCAGTAATGCTGCTATGAACATTCATGTTTATTTTTGTGTGAACATATGTTTTTGGTTCACCTGGGTACACAGGAAGAGTGGAATTCCAGACTGTATATAATTCTATGTTTAACTGAGGACCTGCCTAGACTGTTTTGAAAAGTGGCCACACTATTTCATACTCATACCACCAGCGACAGTCTAGGTTCCTTAACATAATGAATCACTTCTTAACATCTTAATGTATTTCTGATAATTCTGAATTTTTAAGTGATTATTCTTTTTAAAAATTATAATACATTATCTCATTTTACTCTTAATTTAGGGAGTATGAAGTTCGTGTCACAAAACTTGGTACATTATTCTTTTTCTATAAATTTGTATGGGAAATATTTAATCTTATTTATCACTATGGTTGGATCAGATAGGAATGTCATTCTGAAGTAGTGCTAAGAAGCTAAGGAAGCATCAGGTCCTTTGTCTTCCTCTGTTCCTAGTCATCGAGTCTTGCCATCTGGTTTAAATACTGCTGTTCCAGAATACAGTAATCTCCTAGTTGACCACCAACAGACTCTACATCTTAAAATTTTATTTTGGTCCTTGATTCAGGGTACTATGTATGGGGGCCACCCTTTTCAGTCACTATTTCATACTTTAGTCATACTATAGGGGAAGCTTAAATTCTCCTCTAGGACTACTTACTGCTTTAGCTTCAGACTGTTTTCCTATCCTCTTCTATCAGGGACTTCCCAGCTTAATCCTCTCTTTAGTCAAGACTGAAACACAAGCTCTTTCCCTCTGAAAAGAGTGATAGTTGGGTTGTAAAGTCAATTACATCTTTAGAAAGCACACAATATATACATTTTACCCCCACATGCTGAAGCAGGGGCAAGGAAAGCATATGCTAACACCAGCCCTTTTAAAAGTCTTAAGATAACTTCAATGTAGGCTATGGGAGTAGTATTTGCCCTGTTTTTTTAAAGAAGAGGTTACTAAGGCACAAAGAAAGGCTTGTCTAAGACCACATGCTTAGCAACAGAATCAGAACTGGATATCTGATGCCTTGCCTCAGATTTTTTTTATAGAAGTTACTGTCTTTATATGTGGTCAAAACATTATTCAGAAGCAAACAATTAAATAAGAGTTGACATTAACTAACTAAAGCTGCTTGAGCTTTCTCAGAATGACTTTTTTTTTTTTTGCAGTACTGGGATTTTAACTCAGGGCCTACACCTTGAGCCACTCCACCAGCCATTTTTTTTTGTGTTGGGTATTTTCGAGATAGGGTCTCCTGAACTATTTGCCTAGGGTTGGCTTCAAACTGCAATCCTCCTGATCTCTGCCTCCTGAGTAGCTAGGATTATGGGCGTGATTCACTGGTACCTGGCTTCAAAATGATTTTTAAAAGACAGTTCTTGGCATTAGTAGTAGATGTTTAAGGACACTGAACTGTATAATAATCTTTCATGTGGACTTTGGGGAGACTGAAGAAAAATCTTAGGATAGAAGGTAGGTAACATCATAAATGGAAGATGGATTAAAAACATTTTTTCTCCCCATCGCCTGTCTTCCTTCTAACTTCCCTCTTAGAAAGTGAGGTACAGTTTAAAGAGATTGGTGGTTAAAAGAAAATGGGGACTCAGGAGAAATTGTGGTGTGGTTTATTCAATTTAAAACAGTGTGCTTATCCTTTTTAGACAACTTTGTATACTAAGGATAGAAAACTTTGGTAGATGTTTAGAAGAGGGTATCCTGATATTTTGCTAAAAGAAGCGATGTGTGGAAGGGGGTTTGTTACTAAATCAGTTCTTATCAAAATCACATATTATCAATTTTCCAGCTTTACTAAGTGTTAAAAATGAAATCCAGCAAGTCTTTGGTCTGTCTAAAAGGACTTTAAATATTAGGCAAAATCCCACTGAACAATGAACACACATTTTAACTATGAAGGACAAGAACAGAAAATAGTTCATGTTAAGGGGAAAGTAATAGCTAGAGAGGGAGGGTAAGTGAAGAGGGTAAAGGAGGGTGGATATGGTTGAGGCACTTTCTGTACATGTATGAATGTGGAACATTGAAACCCGTTGAAATTATTCTTAAGGGGAGTGAGGGAAGAGGAAGAGTAATGGAGGGAATGAACCAAACCTGGTACAGAATATGTATATATGGAATGTCACAATGAAACTCCTTGTATTACTATCATATACTAATTAAAATGTTTAAAAAATAAAAATAAAAATTAGGTATGATACCAGGTTATGTAATGTACTTGGTGTCAGAGACTGATACAAGGTGACCCTGGAGTTGTAAAGATTTTGTTAAAAGCAGCCCACCAATAAATATTTACCTTGTACTTTTATACTGGCTTAAACATTGGGAATATAGCCATGAACAGGACAGATTTTTCTGTAAAGTAGCTTACATTTCAATGGAGGAAACAAACATAATTGGTGAAAATAAAAAATAATGCTGTGGGGGGGGCATGGAGATGGTTCATGCCTGTAATCCCATCTACTTGGGAGGTAGAAATAGAAGACTGAGGTTCAAGATAGCCCAAGCAAAAAGTTAGCAAGAACCAATCCCAAAGAACAAACCAGGGATGCAGGTCTGTAATCCTAGCTATAAAGGAGGCAGAGGTACAAAGATTGCAGTCCAAGTCTGGCCATGGGCAAAAGCATGAGACTCTATCCAAAAAACAACTAAAGCGAAAAGGGCCAACAGCTTGACTCAAGTGGTAGAGCACTTGCCTACCAAGTAGAAGGCCCTGAGTTCAAATCCCAGTACTGCCAAAATATAATAAAATAGTGAATTTTAGCTGAGTACTATAAAAATGATAAAATAAGGTAAAGTGTAGGCAGTGACTGGGTACTACTTTAATTGGGACAATTAGGGTAGACATCTCTGAGAAGACATTCACTATGAGACCTAAATGATAAGGAGTCTTGTTTGGGGCGTCGTGATGAATAGAGGTGTTTTTGTACTCCAGATTTATACCATTGGCCATCTGAAAGGAACTGCATGTGAGGATTTACATCATTTTATATCTAAGTGTTGGTATTTTAAGATACTATAATTTGCTTGGTCATGAAATAAGTTCATATTAATTACTCAGTTGCCACCCTGAATTTCTTGTGGCCTACTTAGATGCAAAAATAGATGCTTGGTTAGAGCTCAATTCAGTTGATCACACAGGTAGTAGGTCCTCTGGCTTACAGGAGATTGTAAATGTGATACCATACTCACTTAATGAGTTCAGAAACAAATACCTCACTGTATTTGAATGCAACTATGTGTGTGCTTGGTGCTTCTAGATAGAAGAAAAAATGAAAAGTGAGAGAATTCTTAATTTTGAGTAGTTTTCTGTGTTTCTATTTGCAGAAAAAAATTAATCATAGTATAGTTGAAGGAAAGGCAAGAAAAAGACTTAACTTAAGGAAACGTCTGGCCACTCTTTGTGAGATTAGGGAAAATAAAGAGGTTCCTAGACTCTTAAAGTTTGGTCACATTGTCCAGGCAATTTGCTTAGATTCTGACATGGTGTCTTCCGTCTTGGCAGATGGCTCAATCACAAAGGAGTGAGACAGAAGCGTCTGAATGCCTGGCTGGGAATCAAAAATGATGATACTGATGAGTAAGTTCTCTCTAAACCTTTCTGTCAGAGGACCAAGTCACAATATAAGACTTGGGCTCTCTTTGCACTTGCTGAAAGTTGGTTCTCATTGTTACTAGAGGATATTGAGTCAAGAACTTTGTATCTCTTTTGAATTGAATTGCCTTAAGAGTATTTGGGTTTAGAAACCAGCTCAGCACATGAAACCTGGACACTGCTATTCAGACATTCATGTTTTAGCTTATTGGATGAGACATATGAATTCTGTGCACCACAGTAAATAATGAAGTTGTTTAAAGAACACCCAACTAACTGCAATTGTATGGTTAAGAGTTAGAATAGCATTTTATTAATGATTTAGCTTTTAATTATAAGTAAACTGATTGTCAGAATAATATTTTAAATATTTTTTAGGACCTATTTTATCAATGAGGAAGATGAAAACCTGCCACATTATGATGAGAAAACCTGGTTTGTTGAAGATATTAATCGAGTACAAGCAGAGGATTTGCTTTACGGGAAACCTGATGGTGCATTCCTAATTCGCGAGAGTAGCAAGAAAGGATGTTATGCTTGTTCTGTGGTGTAAGTCTTCTCTGGATGTGACCTTTTGAAATCTTGTGCATTGACTAATAGAAAATTAACTCATAAAATTCAGATGGAATTAGTTAAAGTATGACAATGAGAACCCATGACTTACTTAGACCATTAATATTTGTGCAAAGAAAAGAGTTTTAGGATATAGTGGATTCAAATCCTGGCTCTACTGCTTATTAGCTGTGTAACCCTGGGTAAATTACAGATGAGTTTCCTCATCTGTAAAATAAGGGTAATAATAATATTTACTTTGGGTTTTTTTTTTTCCTAAGGTAAATGTTACCTACTAGTTTTTAGATAATGATGTTACTGATAGACATGGCAGAAGGCAAAGAGGGATGAAGTGACTGTCTTCAGAGAGGGCAAAGTGGAGAGGATGGATGAAAGGCACTCATGTACACAGAGCACTGAGCACCTTATGTGATCGTCTTGTACTTCAGTAGTCTACTTGTCTTGGAGTCAGAGTTTGAATCTTAAGTTTACCAGGTTTCAAAATCCACATTTTTTCAATTGCAATTCATTTAATAAAACATCAAAGTTCAGTAGAATCACAATGACACAGGTGTCCTTGGTAGGCCATGTATGTGCAGAACTGTTGATTCTGGTGGGGAAAAGAGGGATGGAAGGTTTTATGAAAGAGACATTAGATCTGGATCTTTAAAGGATGATCGGTCTTTGGCAGAAAATACGGGAGAAGTTGAAAAGTGCATGGATTACTGTCATCCTTAGATAGAACTACTTGTAACATTTCATTTCTCTTTGACCTGCTCAAGTTATCTGAGTGAAAATGACAAGAGAGGTTAGTTCTTGCAAAATTTGGGATCTTTTAAGAGTAGAAAAAAAGAAGGAAGGCAGTAAGTTCAGTTCCCCTTCCTCTCCCAGGTCACTGTGTGCAGCCTTGTAGGTTAAGGACCTGTTGGTGTAAGATGCTACCCAGTAGTTTTGCGAATCTCTGGGGAAACAAGTTGCAGCTTGAGTATTGTGGGAACATATTTTCCTTCCCTTAGCAACAGGATTGATTAGACTAAAGTCTGTAGTAGTATCTATGAAAACTAATTGGTCACACTTTATATTGGATTTCTTATTAAGAATGATTTGGAGACAAAAGAGAGACTGGCATCAAAAATATTTCCATCTATTTTCCAGCCTCTCTGGCCATAGAAAGCCTGTCAATAGTGATGTCACAGTATTCTTTGGACATTTGCTGAAGTAGGAATCTGAGTAAGTTCAGTTTTTAAGAAGAGTCTCAGAGCAAAGTTAAAATGATCATGTATGGGTCATCAAGCCATTTAGTTTAGTTTAGTTTAGCCATTTAGTTTTCAATTTTAATACCTATTCATAACATCATAAAGAAGCCTAAGAAGAAGTTACTGAATCTAAGACTTTCTCAGGCTAAAGATTCTGAGCAAGCAATGTGTGTATCTACTTGTTAGAGGATCAGGTAGTGAGAGCTTGGATCCTTATTGTTGCTGCCATTTGGAAATAAGATATTTGATTAGGGATAAGAATAACTAGATAGAAAATCAACAAGGAAATAGAACAGTTGAACAATACTATAAAACAATAAGACCTACCAGATAACTATAGGACACTCCACCAAACAATAATGGAATACACCTTCTTCTCAAGTGCACATGAGCCATTATCCAGGATAGACCATTGGTTAGGCCATAAAACAAGTTTCAATAAATTTTAAAGGAGTGAATCATATGAAATATATTCTCCAACCACATGGATGTTATCGTGGTTCGAAGACAGCCCAGGGCACATAGTTCTTCAGATCCTATCTTGAAAAAAAACCATCACAAAAAAGTGCTGGCAGAGTGGCTCAGGCTGTAAGACTCCAGTATTGACCAAAAAAAAAAAAAATTGGAGATGAATGAAAATGGAATTATACAATATAGCAAAACCTACAGGATATATAGCAAAAGCTGTGTCTATATTACAAAGAATGATCTCAAACCTTGAAAAACTAGAAAAAAGAGTAAACTAAACCTGAAGAAGGAAGGGGATAATAAAGATTAGAACTAGAGTAAATGAAATAGAGAATAAAAAACAAACCTTTTTTGTTTTTTTAAAACAAAAAAGTTGGTTCTATGAAAAAGCCCAACAAAATTGACAATCTCTAGTATACTGGCAAAAAAAAAAAAAAAAAAAAAAAAGGTAAATTACTAAAATCAGGATTAAAGAGAAGGTGTTTATAGAAATAAAGGAATACTATAAATAGTTATATGCCAGTAATTTGAATAACTTACATTTATTGTTAGACAAATTCCTGAAATACAAAATCTACCCAGACTGACTCAAGAAGTAGTAGAAAATCTGAGTAGACCTGTAACAATTAAAGAAATAGAATTTTTAATTAAAAATTATACAAAAAGAAAAGCCCAGGCCCAGGTGGCTTTCCTGGTGAATTCTATCACACATTAAAGAAAAATGAGTACCAATCTTTTACAAATTCTTCTAAGAAAAGAATACTCTCCAACTCACTCCATGACGGCAGAATTACCCTGGTAACAAAACCGAACACAGATATTACAAGAAAAGAAAGCTGTAAACTTTATCTTCTATAGCACTGCTTGGGAATATGGCTTTGCAGAGCAAAAATATTGGCAAGGCAGCTGTCGCAGCATATAAAAAGGATTGTATACCATAATTAAATAAGATTCACCTCAGAAATGCAAGGTAATTCAACATAGAAAAATCAGTTAATGTACTAAACCATATTAATAGAATAAAAATTAGAAAATCACATGATCTCAATAGACTCACAAAAAGCTTTTATAAAATCCAATACTCTTTCATGTTAAAAACACTGAAGAAACTGAGTATTATTATTTTTTTTAGGTATTAACTAATTAATTATCAGTTAATACCTAATAAGAGGCATCAATGAAAAACCTAGTTAGTATCATACTTAATGGAAGACTGGATGCAGGGTGTGCACTCTAAAAACTGCTTTTCATCATTGTACAGGAGATTCTAGTCAGGGTAATTAGGCAAGAAAAAGAAACAAAAGTATGGAAGAAGTAAACTGTTAGATAAGAGGTCAGGAAAGTTGTAGGTTATATGACACTAAGGTGTATTTCTGTATACTAGCAACAAATAATCCAAAAAAGAAATGACATGCCATCAAAATGATGAAAAACTTAGTAATAAAAGTATAGGTTGTAATGTGAAATCTACAAAGTATCACTGAAAAAGGTTAAAAGAAGACTTTAATAAAAAGGTGTGGCTGAGGGTGTGGCTCAAGTGGTAGAGTGCTTGTATAGGCCCTGAGTTTAAACCTTAGTACTGTTAAAAACAACAACAACAACAAAAACAACTTAGGGTGGCAAGGCAATACTTCCCCAATTTTTCATTCAGCATAATCATGTCAAAATCCCAGATGGATATTTGCAGAAATTTACAAGGTGTTCCTGTACTTGATGCAAAAATGGAAGGGACCCAGAATAGCCAAAACAATCTTGAAAAAATAGGAAGAAGTTTTGGAGTATTCATACCTCATGATTGCAAAATTTACTATAAAGCTATAGTAATCAAGGCTCTGAGGAGGTACTGACATATGTAGATCATTGAGTGTTACTGAGAGTTCAGAGTCTGCACTTACGGCTATTGTTTTAATTTATCTATCTGTGATCATTCTAAAAGAGCTGAGGCAACACAATTTTACAAGTTTTGTCCAATTGACAGGACACTTCTGCATCTCCTACCACATATAACATTTGAACTAGACTTCTGGTCATTTATTGTCTCTTAAACTATTGTTATCTGCCTTAACATTTTTCCTGTGGTGTACCATTGCAGTGCTGATGGGGAAGTGAAGCACTGTGTGATCTACAGCACTGCTCGAGGATATGGCTTTGCAGAACCCTACAACCTCTACAGCTCACTGAAGGAGCTTGTGCTCCATTACCAGCAGACATCCCTGGTTCAGCACAACGACTCCCTCAATGTTAGGCTTGCCTACCCTGTCCACGCACAGATGCCATCACTCTGCAGATAAAGAGGGAGTAAGAAGAGAAGTGGCTTTCCAGCATTTTTTCTACAGTTTTTATTAGACTACGGTGAGGGCATTCTTTCTACAGAGACTGCTTGTTTTGCACAAGAAGTGATTCTGTGAAGGTGAAGTGGAGAGGCTGACCAGTAGCCGGCCAGGATGGGGGAATAAGTTAGGGGCCTGGGGCCTTTGGGGCTCATCTGTGCTGCTGCCCTGTCATACTAAGCTAGAAGCAGATGTCATTTTTACAAAGTCTATATTTCATTGGGCTTTTTGTTTTTGTTTAACCAGGTACCCTCAACAGAATGTGTTAGGCTTGTTGGGGGCAAGGGGTGGGAGTTGTATTTGGAAGCTCCTGAAGAGTCTGTGTCCTATTTTGGTCTTAACTCCTGAGAATGCAGGAGGGGCATGGGTCTGTTGGGAGTTCTGTTTTGCTCTCACAGTCTCTCTTCCCTCAAAAAGATGGCTGCTTTGGTTCTGTGGTAGAATGGGATTTGGTTTAAGAAAATAAAAAAGACAACAACCAAAGGAAAATAGGGAGGTTTGGGATTTCATCTAAACACTCTAAGCCCTGGGGATTAAAAAAAAATCTTCAGTCAAAGGTACTGCATTTCTTATCAAAACAATTTAGACTTCAGCATCTCACTGTCTCCTCCTTCTAAAGAAGTATTGTGTTCAGAAACCAACAACGTGTTTGTTGCCAGAACAAGGTCTAAGGGGCAGAAAGTGACTTAGTAGCTGAATGCACACTTCTGTACCAAAACTTGAAAACAAGAAAACTAGAAATGTGAATTTTAGCAACATTAAAATTGGTCAATGTCTTTCCTTCTGCCCTGCCCTTGCTTCTCAGAGATGAGGAATAGCATTCTTTTTGTGGGGATAGTAAGCTTTGAATCATAAAATGAAGTTGGTACTTGTGTGGTGTTTCCTTAGCCTAAAGAATGATTTGTTGTTTGAACTTTGTAACTTGTTTGTATGAGTAAAGAAGAGGTGCAATCCAGTGCTTTTAGATGGCTTGATATACCAAATAATGATCTAGAACATTATTGTTTGTGCTTCCCCAAGCTTAAAGACCCTGCAAAAACAGTGTACGTGGTTTAATTTGCCTTCATTTCCCCCTCCTTTGCTAGGTAGGGTTTAGGAAGCCATAGGTGGTTGAAGAGGGGAATCAGATTGTGGTCAGAAACCTCAGTAAATCACAGACTCAGGGGCCCTGGTGTCCAGGATGATGGTCATACCACGTTACATATATGCTTCCGTACAGTGGTTTCTGAAGCTTTTGCAGGGAGAGGAGGAGACAGCTTGGAGTCTAAACTGTTAGTTAAAACCATTGGGAAGCTTTTCTTTTTTGCCTTTTTTGTGAGCCTGCCATTGAGGCAATGTGCACAGTCTGCCCTTATGCTCCAGTGGCTATGATTTTAGGCCAGGAATCTTCTGCTCCATGTGGTTTAAGCCTTCCAGCTGAGTGAAGCTAGGCAGCAGAGTGGAGGGTAGGCATCTACTCCTGCCTTCATTATGCCCCACAGTCATCAGTCAACACTCATTTGACAAATAGCCCAGCAGCCTCTGAGCCAATCTTGGAATCATAATAGGCTCAATGTGACTCAGCTTTTGAGCCCAGAGACGTGCAGTCAGGCATCCTAGCTGAGCTAGAGAAACAGCCAGTACCTGGGTCTTGATTCATAAGGCATTTATAGCTAGGAAAACTCTAGTTTGGGGGCTGAAAGAAAAACATTTCTTTCCCTGAACACTTACTTTGGTGACAGTGTCTAGAATGGACTATGATGTGTACACCAAGACAAGGTGAAATTTTGGAAAAGCTTCCAGAGTTATGAACAATGAAGATATGAAGAAAAGGGCGTATCTTGCCTTTTTCTTATTTATATTGCAGTTCAATGGGGTGAATAGAGCCCCCTTCCATGTCATTGTTTTGATTTAAACCCTTAACTCATAGCCAGCACATTCTTTCCCCAAATTGGCAGATTAAAGTCTTGCTGAAAGTTTTACTGAGTAATGCGGGGCCAACTGTTGCAGGGCACACCTTGTCTGGTGTTGAACCTGCTGAAGCATTTGGATGTTCAACTGGATGCAAGGACTCTCTCCTATCTGGTAACTAAAATGTTAGTGTGTTCTGAATGTCTTTTAAAAAATAAGCCTAAATTGGGGGTGGCAGTGGTTCAAGTGGTGGAACATTTGCATACCAAGTGTAAGGCCGAGTTCAACCTTCAGTATCCCTCTGCCCCCTAGAAAATCTAAAATGGAATAGGATACACACTGTAGTGTTGAACAGTGTGTCTGTACCTCGTTGGGCAGACATGAAGGGTATACAGGGAGAGAGCAAGCAACATCTTATTCTCTGGGCTGGTTTGTGGGGAAGGGCTGCTGGTTTTCAGTCCTACCATTCTTCCCCACCCCTTTTCAGTTTCTGAATTCATTGCTTTGTGGGATCTAAGAGATCAGGGATCATTTAATTAAATGGAAAGTAGATTTTTTTGGCCAGTTGCTACATGGTTTGCTTGCTCTTGAGCCAGTGCAAATGACATAGGGATCAGTCTTTTAACCACAGGGCCTGGTGTATGTGGATAGGCAGTATACTGCACCTTTACTCCATGGTTTGGGAGGTCTTGGCTTTCTTACATGGGTCCTGCCCCATGATCTTGGCTCTGGGACTATCTCTTGGCATCTCAACTGCTGTTTCACTGAGACAGAGTATAAGAGACAGACCAAGACCAGAGGACTCATTATTCTCCTGGCTAGATAAGCCAGCCAATATGAAAGCAGGTTTGGGCTGGCTAGACACAGGTCCCAGGTCCATATTTTCCAGGTGGAGTTTTCATCACAAAACAATGCTGTCTCCACTTAGCCATAAATGTCAGGTCTAGCCATAGTTCAGACCTGGCTAGGATGCCTGTGTCCTTATCACTGAACTGGCCAAAGGTGAAGACTTCCTAACATCTTTGAGACTTGATGGGACCGCCCAATTTACCTTAGTCCTTATATACCCTAAAGCTTTCAGAGCCAATGTGGGGTTTTCCATGGGTCTCCTCTTCTTGCTGCAAGGAACCAGTCCCATGCATTCTCTTGAGCCAAGAACTGCATCTGGGTGGTTCCTGGTTTCCAGGATGATCTCTGCTGCCAGTTAAGAGTTAGAGTAGACCTCTGTGAGCTTTCAATTGCCTCAGAAACCAGAGGGTCCATTCAGGCACCTGCTTGGGCCCTCTGCTGCCAACTGCTCAGCTTTCCTTTAGCTCCAGCCACTTGTGACAACCAACCTTGTTTCCTTACAAATTCCAGCATGTGACTTTGATGCCCTGTTGTTACTTGTGAAAAATCTACTCTGTTGTCTTTGATGTAGTAAAAAAAAAAAAAAAAATCATGTAGTTTATATAAAAATACCTGATTCCCAAGGAAGCTGACTGTATGTCTTGTGTTGGGACAGTTCATAATGTAGTTCCTAGGCCACTTTTGCAAATTGTTCTTGTCACCAGGTATGTTCAGACATTGCTGTGCAGTTGTGGGGAAGGGTGGGGGGGGAAGGTGAAGGGAGATACTTTCTGGGTTTTTTTTTTTAACCTTGCCCAAGAGGGGATAGTCTGGCCAACTTGTTCCAGTAATGCAATAAAGACATTGCAATAAAGCACATTTTTGTCTTCATGATATGGGGGACTGGGTGGGCTTGGGGCAGGGTAGGGAGGAAGCAAAATAAGGTGCTAAGCCATTGAAATTCCCAAACTTCTCCAATAATCATCAAAAGACCAGTCCTGGGGCTGAACTGGAGCCACCAGTGCCCTTCCCTGAAGGCAGGCAATCAACACTAACAAGCATGATGAGTCTACCTGAAACAGGACAAAGGGAGACTCACTGAGAAAATTAAATGAGAGCCACTTCCTCTCCACTTCATCCACTCCTAATAATTGTAGTTTAGGGGTTCTCATGATGCATTACTGTCCAGAAATATAAGTATATCCACATTCTACTCAGGGAGCAGGGAAAATGGACTTATAGTCTACCCTCTTGTTGGTCCAGGCCAACAGGGCACTTTGTTGAGATTTCTGTGTTGGCAACATAATCAGCACCATGACCTCATTACACAGAACACTGAAACTCACATCCATGTCTCTCAGGCCTTTCCCACTCATGCATTCAATTATGAAATCAGAATGGCATATTCTAAATGATGCCTGTGTCTGTCTCCTCCCCGCTATACTTTAACTACTTAGCATCTTCAAGGCTACTATGGATAGCATCCCTTAATCCCAAATTGTCCTCACTTTTGTGCTTGGGATACTTGAAATTCCTTTCTCCTGCCCAGTTCTCTCTTCTGAACTATACCTGGTGACTGGACATCTCCACTGGGACATCAGATATTCCATGGGGACTCCAAACTTGTTTACTTCATAGAGAAGAGAAATGATTAATTGTGAATTCCCTTACTACCATTCCACTGCCAAATCCAAAACCTACTTAAAGCCTCTCCTTTCCCCAATTAATTACAAAAGCTAATCATCTTCTAAAAAGCCAGTCCTTCCCCTGTATTTTGGATTCTGATTTCTCCAACCTTCTCAGGAATCTCCCATGATAAATGATCAATTTTTTAACTCGTTTCTTCTCACTGGATAATGGCTGACATTTAAACCTGTTTTTTTTTGTCCTTGTTGTTTTGAAAGAAGGTCTGTGAACCCGACTGGTCTTGAACTCTTGATTGCATGCCCCCCTGCTGGGATTATAGACATGAACCATCACACCTGGCTGTTTAATCTTCATTCTACCTCCCCAATCTCTAACCATAACCTCCTCCACCCACACTTTTTTCCCTTCTTCTCAGTCAAGTCTTTTGAAAGAGCTGCTTAAATATCTTTATTTCCTCACCTGGAGCATTTTAGTACAGGTTCCATCATCACCTGAAACTACTTTGATGTCTTCTACTACCATCACTGTCTTCTCTCCATGGAAAGCTTTCATTGACTCCATTACAACTCATTCACCTAATTTTCCTCTGACATGTTTATTTTACATCTCTCAGACTCCTCCAGGCTTCTTACCCCTTATACCTTTTTTTAATCTATAGTTTTATCCACATCTCTGAATCAACTTACCATTTCTAGGTCAATTACATGTTTGTCCTACCCAAACCACTATTGTAATGTACCTTGTATTCAGCATGTTGAATGCTGGGTCACCAGGTGGCCTGGATTCTTCTCCATTATATTTTACTAAATGGAAATAGAATTCATCCAGTTATGTAAGTCAGAAATATAGTCATCATCCTTGATAGCCCTTTGCTTTATATTGACAAACCATTCACCAAACCCATACTAATTTTATGCTCAAAATATCAAAACAACACTTTACTTCACCATTTTACTACCCTAGTACTAGAAGACATCCTTTTTTTTTTTTTGGCAGTTCTGGGGTTTGAGCTCAGGGTTGTAGACTCAGGGCCCTGTGCTGCTAGGCAGGTGCTCTACCACCTGGCTACAACTCTACTCCTTTTTGCTCCAGTTATTTTTCAGAAAACGTCTCATTTTTTTTTTGCCTGGTCCAGCCTGGACTGTGATCCTCCTACTGAGGTTTCCCATGTAACTGGGTGTGGTGTGTGCCATCATGCCTATCTTGTTTTGAGATAGGGTTTCCCTAACTTTTTTGCCTGGGCTGGCTCCCAAGTAGCTGGGATTATAGGTATAAACCACTTCAATTGGGTTCTTCCATTCTTGCCCCCCTTAAATCCATTCTCATTACAACAACCAGTTATCTTTTCAAAATGCAAACCTAAGTCTGTGTAAAACATTAAATAACATTCAATTCCTCCTAGGATGAATCAGAATTATTATTTTTTAAATGAGACAGGTCTTATGCTGTGCTTCCTAGGCTGTCCTGAACTCTTGGGCTGAAGTGATCCTCCTGCCAAGTCATTAAGACTACAAATTACAAAATTTTTAAAATGGTCTGCTTCATCCTGATTTAGGATCTCATCCCCCATTTTCACTGGCTGTTCCCTCTGCTAATCCAAAAGTCTTGGATTAGCACATTCTTTCTGCATCTGCACATTCCCTAGGCAGTCCTTATCTCATATTGCCCAATTACCATCTGTATTCAGCTTCTCTTCCTTGTCTCTCCAATTATCTAGATCATCTGGGTCCCTGCATCTGTGGCCCATGGCCTGCACATTCCACTGGTCTACTGTGCAGCCAGTGATTTTCCTAAAACATAAACCTGGTATCACTTCCCTTAAGGAGACTTTCAGGAACTCTTCTCTGCCCTTGGGATAACCCAGCAGTGTTTAAGAGGAGCTGGTGCTTGGGGCAGGTGCTTGTGCATTTACATTACAGGATGTTTGACATCTTTGTGTTCTCTCCCTCTTTAAGAAGGCAGTTCCCATGAAATTGCAAGATCTGCTTCCTCCGACCCCTTTCACCTATGGTATAGTGCTTTTGACCAGATCCTGATATTACACGTGGGACACTCCTCCCCAGCTCCTCCAGCCATCCTCCAGCAATTCTCCAGGGAACAACCTGTGGCCTTTCCATTGCCCAGGTCAGGCACTCCAGATATGCTGTCAATGAATAACTTTAGCAAGGAGGAAGTGAAGTCAAGAAAGGAGTGGAAGGCTGAGGGAACAAATGTCCCCACAGTGGGCTCTGCCATCATGGGCAGAGCCCGCCCTCTGGTGGCCACTGTCTTCCCGTGTAGGATGACAAAGCTGCAAAGTCTGTAAGGTACAAGAAACACTAAGCTAGTGGCCCAGAGGTACTTTCCTCTCTCCAGGCCACCTGACACCTGTCCTTCACACCTAGGCATTAAATCTTCAAGAGTTAGCACAACAATCAGTGCAAGGCGGTTTTGTAAGTCTGGTCTTACTATGGAGGTACTCCTCCTCTTCTAGCCCTGGCACTCCCTGCTCTGTGTTATCACTACCTGACTCCTAAACCCTGGTCTCAATGATATCCTCTTTTCACACTACCTATCAAGTACACTCTACTCAATGGGGGCAACACTTAGCAACGTCCACCTCCAGTGCAAGGGCCTACCTGACAATAGCCTAGGAGGGACTCACTGGCAAAAAACACTTAAGGACCTATTACTAATAGGCAATTTTCTGTTTTCATCTCAGCTGATCTCAGCATTTTATCAAATAACTATTCCTTTCATTTTGAAGCTCTTCCCTCTCTTAGATTTTAATTTTTTTTCTTTTTTTCAGTGCTGAGGGCTTTTGTGCATAGTAGGCAATTGTTTCACTACTGAGCTAAACTCCTGGCCTGACTGCAGTTTCTGGGTCTTCTTTCTTTGCCTTACCTATCAGTGTTCCTGAATATGTCACTGCTGATACATTGATGGTACTTATTTCTATGTAGTTCAGACCCATGCACCCAATCATTATCTGGATGTCCCACAAATGGCTCAAACTAAATATCCAAAATTAATCCCACCTCCTTTTACCTTTCTCTTGATTTACTGGTTAAGAGGCACTCTAAGTTAGGAGATGAATGTGGGTTCCAGAGTTAAAAGAGACCTATGCTCTGCCCAACCTATAAAGTCTAATATTCCTTATTTATAAGGCAGGACTATTAGTTGTTACACAGCCTTCTTTGGATCTCCAGTACCAACACAATTTCTAACTCCTGAAGGACCATTAGATAAGGCCCTTGGTTAACTTGCCAGACCCATTTCCACTTTGAATTATTTTTGGTTCCTTGAACACATCAGGTATATTGTATGTGCTACATACACTCTTTCCTAAACCAACCCCCACTCTTCCATACCCAGCAAACTACTACCTAGTGTCTACTCTTCATGCTTGAGCTCAGATGTCTCATGGTTTTTGAGAAGTGAAGCTTAATTAGGTGTCCCTACCCTGAGGTTGTAAACTGTCTTAGCCACCACTGTGTTTCCAGGAGCAACACACTAGAGGTATGTGCGTGATGACTGAAGAAAAGAAGCAAGCTAAAGACAAAAGATGGTTTCCAGGAGGGTGTATTACACAGGTCTGAGTGCAAGAAATGGCAAACAACTGCTATGTTTGCTTTAAAAGCTCATCTGACACCAATGCCAAGTCCTGATGCTTTTGATGCCCCCCTGGTTCTTGGCCCCTCCACAGAAGGCTGGGCCCAGTCTCCTCGGTGAGGGGGTAAGCTCTGCATGGAACATCCTGCCTCCTGTCACCTGAGGCATCAGGCACTTTGGTGATGCTCAGGGCTGGCTCCCCTTTCTGTCCTTGTGCACATTCAGACTCCCACAGCCAACTTTGGCTGGGAACCTCACAAAGTGGATGGGCCAGCCCAGGGGCACTGAGTAAGTGTGGTTTTCCCTCTTGCCCAGGAGACAGGCTCTTAGGGTGGGGTGGAGTTGTGGCTTCCAAATCCTGGGGGTTGACTGGTCCACCTGTCATTACTGTCTCTCTGCTTGGGGATGCCCTGTCTGGGCCCTCAATAAGGAATTTCCAGGACCATGTGTCTGGCTTCCCAGGGATGGAGGCAGCAGTATAGTAACTGGTGGGGATGAGTCCTGAAGAGCTGGGACAAAGTGCTGTTAGTGCCTGGTTGTGGAGGTGCTGGGTCTTCCAGCAGTCTTCAGGCAGGATAGCGTCTGTGGGTCTAGACCTACCCAGGCTGGGGGATGGTGAGGAGCCAGTAACTTCCTCAAATGCTTGTGGGCTCCCAAGCCTCCTCTGGGGAATGCCAGAACCTTCTCTTCTGGGAGGGCCCAGAATGACCCCTGTCAACAGGCCTGGGACCACAAGACCTTGGTTTCTTAGGTCCCTGGGCAAGAAGGTATCCTCTTCCCCACCCTCTCCTGCTCCTCTGGGGGGTGGCTTCTGGCCTGCTTCTGAGTAGGGTGCCAATTTTGGCTCCTGTAAACCCTGGCTGTTCTCAGGCTCTTCATCAGTATCATCCTCTGAGGAGTCTACCTCACGGATAGCTTCTTGCTTTTGCAGTGACTCTCGTCGTTCAGCTCGGTCCTGCCGGAGGGTGCCTAGGGCTCGTGAAGGAGCAGGCTGCAGCACCCCCTTTCCTGGTAGTACCCCTTTCCCAGACAGTACACCCCTGGCTCCAACTACCTCCAGAGAGTTGGCTTCCCTGGGTGGCAATTCCTTCTTTAGCTCACAGTGGGGCTGGTCAAGACTATGCTTGCGAGAAGGGGTCAACTTCTTCTCAGAAGCAGCCAGTGCAGCTGCCAGTTTCTCAGCTGACTGCACCCTCTTAAGCAGTGGTGAGCGGGGTGGCTCTGCACTCTTGGGCCGTGAGAGTTGTCTGCCTAGTGGAGGAGACAAGTGGAGTTTGGTGGGAAAGGTCTGGGCTCCATGACCAGACAGGGGTGATGGGGAACGCTGAGGTGAAGCTGCTGGTGGTGGTGGAGAAGGGGTGTGGGCTAATGGTGAGAGAGGAATACTGCCTGCTGACTTGCGTCGTGGAGAGCGGTACTGGCGTTGCAGCTTGGGTGCCAGACCATGTAGGGAACTGGGTCGTGTGTGCCCAGAGCCAGCTGGGGAACTGGGTACACTGGAGCTGGGGGAGCTGCTCTGCGATGAATTCCCTCCCACTTTGTGCAGACAGACAGACAGACAAGACAGACAAAGGCAGAACAGTATTAGTTTTTAGAAGGGGCAAAGCAGGGCTTAGCCCTGGAATGTCCCAGCATTGTCAATTACCCCAGCAGTGGACCAGAGCCTATATGGAAACAAAGCCATTCCCGCCCCACATCTGTTCTTCCCAAGATTGGGGTGGGCTGAAAGAGATTCAGAGAGCAAGACCTGCAGGAAGCAGAGAGCCCAGACACTTTCCTATATCCCAGGGGATGGTATCTGTTCTACAAGAAGCCCTCCATACCTGAGTGAACAGCATCAGGAGTTACCCGGTAGCCCTGAGTGGGAGATCTGGGAGAAAGGCTGTGGCCATGTGTGGGAGAGCCTGGCCCACTCTCCCCAGATGACAAGGAGCGGTTAAGAGATGAAAGGCTGCGGCTGGTGTGCAGAAGGGAGGCCTGCTTGGTAATCTTCCGGAATAGGGAGCTTCTTTTTCTGCTGTAGAGATAAGGGTCAAGGTGGAGTTGGTGCATAGACACAGCACACTCTAGGTCCAGGGCACGGGCACCCAAGAGTATGCAAGGACCCAGGTGCTTAGAGCAGACCTCTGGACTAAGTCTGGCTTACCTTTCTTGCCCCTCCTTGCCCCGGCTTCGCTTGCTCCTTCGGGCCATCTTGGCCTTGTAGCTGCCTTTCCGAGCTGGTCCCACTTTAATGGATGTGTTCTCCAGGGGAGTTGTTGAAATAGATACCTTGTTTCCACTCTGGGGAACAAACAGAGCATGAGGTCTAGGCTAAGGCGGTGGCCATATTCCTACCCTGCCCCTTTGGCATGGCTCCACCACAGCTCCAGCTTTTGCCCTTGCACCAACATGTCTTCCTTCTCACAGACAAGGAAATGGTTCCCATTGGACCTCGGAGTGGTTTACAGGTGGGAAGACAGAGAAGAGGCTCCCCTTGTCCTGTTTACTTGTCTTACCCTGTAGCTCAGAAGGGTCCCTGGGCATTAGCTGGTAAGAGTGCTGCCTTCTGGAGAAAATCCTTTCCCAAGTTCTGCATGTTCCTACATCTGTTCTCAGTGCCAGATATATGTGCCCAACATTCCCACTCCCCATGGCCAGTCCAGACTCACAAGCTGGGGGACAGACACCACAACAGGCAGTATTCCCAGCACTAACCTTCAGAATCAGCTCCACCACTTCTGTATGTACCAGCCCATGCACAGGTTCCCCATTGACGTGGGTAATGAGGTCACCCTGACGAAGCCCTGCCTCACTGGCTGGACCTCCATCCTCCACATGCTGCCCCAGAAAGAGAACAGTTTTTAATCTGGAGCTTGAACATTAAGTATGGGAACTGGTTCTTCTCATTAAGTTGTAAGCCCCTTCACAATCACCCTTTGACCCCTGTGAGTAGTGTGGGCAGTGACAGAAGAAAGGACAGATGGGCTCCAGGAAGAGGAAGGTGGAAGAGTGACAAAGCTGGAAGACAATAGCTCTGGCTGGTCAGACATACCCACACCATGTGGTGCACAGTGTAGACATCTGAGTCACCCATGTAGACACGAATGGCCCGCAGGGTGAAGCCATACTTCTTGCCAGCTCGGTGGATGATGATGGGAGGCTTCAAGTTGCCAAGGGCTGGCAAGAAGTCCCTGCTTGGAGAAGAGTCTCTGGATGATGGATTGGATGACTGAGAGTGCGGGGACATGGGGCTTGCCAATGGAGAGCAGGTGTGGTGTTCTAGAGGAGGAGAAGCCAGGACTTAGTGAATCAGATGCCTGGCCATGCTCCTAACCCGAACCCCTGAATAGCCTGTTGATCACAGTCCTGCTCTCGTTATAGAACCAGAGCCTGGGGCACCTTTCCCACATCCTGACCAACTAAGCCCTCTTATCTGCTCAGTTTCCTAGCCACAGGTGGGGGTACAGGTAGCTAGCATGTACCAGGAACTATATAAACTCTTCATATGTATTCAAACATCACAATCCTCCTGTGAGCTAAACACTACGAATATCCACATTTTTAATGGAGAAATTGACAAAAGGGTTAAACAACTTGCTTAAGGTCAAGAGCCTTTAGTGATGGAGATTTAATATTAGTTCTTTGCCAGCATTTGAATTATTAGTCCTTTGCCTCAAAGCTTGCACTTACTACATTGTACTATCATGCCTTTTGGTGAGTTTGTGTGCACATAACTATCTTCAGCAACCTCCATTTTTATAAGCACAATCTCAGGTGTACACACACACACACACACACACACACACACTCACACACTCTACCTGCCACATGCAGATTCCTGTTGCAGGCCCACAGAGACTCCCAATGCCCTTCCTATGAATTTTATCCTTTTCAGGTAGCCTACTCACCTGAAGGAATGAGGAGGGAAAGGGCTGTAGCTGAGGCAGACTTGATCACTTTGTTGACAGGGCGAGTGGTGCGTTTCTCTACAGAGTCTCCAGAGAGTAGCCGGTGACGGGCCCTGCGCACAGCCAGGTCACTGATGGCCTTGGCTGTGGCACCCTCGGCCAACTGTGGGGTCCCACGGCCTCGGATATCCATGGCTGTAAGCCCAAGTGAACAATGAGACCAGCAGTGCAGCTGAGCCCCCCTCCCTGCAGTATTTTCCAGCCTACGCCTTTGGCCACCCATTGGGTCACACCTGGACTGGAACTTCTACTCTGGCCAACAGGCTCCTCATCCAACTTCAGCCGCCGCTCCACTGGCCGTTCAGGGGCAGGCCCAGATGCTCCCTCTTCAGAAGGGGGTGTCAGGAGCCATATACCCTCCTGTTGCTGCCTCCTGGGGGTGCTGCTAGCCTCCTCAGGGCTCTCAGAGAAGCGAGGCACATCTAGAAAGCCTGAGCAACGGCGTCGCACTGTCATTGGAGGGCTTGAGTCACTCTCTGTATGGGATGACTCAGACACCGACAACCGCTTTCGTAATCTGTGAGACACAAGGCAGGGATGGTAGGGAGTGAGATGGCCCAGGTGGTCTCCCTCCTCCTGCCCAGTCTTCCTTAGGGATGTACAGAAGTCTCCTCCTCAGACATTCCTCCAGTACTGCCCTTGAGAATGCCTCACTGCTACCTCCGAGCATCTGATTCTCTCCCATGATTTATAACAACCAAGGGATGGCTATGCTGCCCATCCTGGTGAGCCCTAGGTGCTCACATCTCAGGGGAGCCAATAACCCAGCTCCGGTCCCGGCCCTTGAGCCCTGCCAGGCCATCTGTGCGATCCTCTTTCTCCTCACTCAGGCTGCGCTTGGTGGGAGGTGGTATCCGGCGTTCCTCGAGCAGTGAGAGTCGCTCCATGCTACTGTACACCTGTGGACACAGGAGATACACTGGGGACAGCTCTGACAGACATAACTCCCAGGGGACAAAAAGTATCCTCAGAATCTGAAATTCAGGAATTTGAGTGAGTTTTTTCCTTCCTTCTTTTACGTACCATTTGAATATTTGGGGAAGCAGTTATTTTGCTGGTCTGACCTATCTTGACCCTGGTATCTCTCACGTCTTAAGACTGGAGTGATTCTAGAAGCATCTGCTGTGTGCAGCCCCAGTCCTCTGTTCCTCTTTTTCTGGAAGTAGGCCTATCACCATCTGAGCCTGCTCCAGATGTATCCTTTGGCAGGTCCTCTTCTCCCAACCCTATAGCCTGGGCTTCTCAGTCTCACCTTGCTGAACCTTGGAGAGCAGGAAGAGAACTGGCGGATCTCAAGGCAGCCATCTTCACTCACTTCCTCCTCATCCTCTGAGTCTACATGGTGGTATCGCTCCGAACGGGCTGTGCAGACACAGAATAGTTCCCTTCAGAGCCCTGCTGACTGCATCCTTTTAGCCCTATCAGACCTTAGCTGGGTCATGACAAGGTGCTTCCAATGCCAGTATGTATAGGCATTTCTAGGCAAATAGGACCCATGCTCCACCTCCCCCCACCAGTGGCCTTACTGTCAAAGTAGCTGGTATCATCCTCCGACTCTAGTTGAGGAATAAATTCAGCCTTCTGACGAAGAAGTCCTGTCCAGTCCAGACCCGTAAAGAATGGGTGCTGTTTTACCTCACAGGCACTACCTGTTGACAAGGAGGGTGGAGGTAAGAGGTTAGGATGACTTGTGTGGAGTGCAGGTCAGCAAGTCAAATGAGAAGCCAGACCTTAAGAAAGCAGACCTGGAAGCCTCAGCCAAGTGACTCCTTCTCTGCCTGCAAGGACCCAGAGGGACTATTCACATCTGAAGCCTGAACCTCTAGGTGCATAGGCTCAGCCTCCCTTCCCCCTTTTGTAGGTCATGAGAAAGAGGAGAGGGACATGACTTACCTGTGCCCAATCTCTCCAAAGGGTTTTGGTGGAGCAGTTTGGAGGTGAGGTCCTGGGCATCGGGGGGCAGTGCATCATCACCCTCAGGCCACACAATTTCATCTAAAGTCAACATGGGTGAAAAAGAACTTGTGGTTAGAACGGGAAGATGAAGAGAAGGTCCTAGGATAGTCTAGGGAGGAATAAAGGGCCCAGCCCAGAGCCCCTAAAAGCCTTGCCTGGGATCTCAATTCCTTAAGACCTGTAGGTTCCTCCCTTCCTAAGGCAATCTCACACTCTCTAGACCATGGCTTGGTTTGGCTCTTTCATCTAGGGTAGGCACTGCAAAATAGTGGCTTCCAATATCCTTCCAAGTTCCAGCTCACTACTTTTATACTTGAAGCACATATAGAACTCACTCTCACAAGATAAGCATATATGCAATTCAGGAATACCATATAGCTACACAAACATAAACAGAATAAGCCCCAGAAGGACACACAGTATGTGTGTACATGCACAACTCTCCCTCCCCCTGTATGAGACAATTATACCAAACACACACACTCAAATTCAGAACAAGAGCTCAAGAGCCTCACAGGTGCACATATGTATTCTATTTGTAGATCCAGACTTTGACTACAGACTGGCCCAGGATGATGGTACATACCACTGATCACTTGTCCAAAGAGCTCCTCCGGAGTGTCTCCAAAAAAAGGGACGCAACCCACCAGGAACTCATACAGGATTATGCCCATGGCCCACCAGTCCACTGGCTTCCCATAGCCCTGACGAAGGATCACCTCAGGCGCTATGTACTCTGGGGTCCCGCACACCTGGGCACAGAAAATTCAGGCTGGCTCAGTATCCTGAGGCAGCTCACTAGCATAATGGCCAGAGGGGTAGGGATGTTCCTACCCCTGGGAACAGAAGTCTGAATAAAGCCTCAGCTTACCTCAGTTAATAAACAAGATCAACAGGAACTCCAAAGAACCAGAGTTAGAACTCTTGGTGGGATGGATTAATGTATTTCCTAATCAACCAAATGTTAATCTAACCTGGAACCATCTCTCCCTGAGCTCTCAACACCTGCTTCTGGCACCTGGGTCCATAATTGGTCTCTGGCCTCTAGTCTCCCAAAGAATAGAATGAGTTATATGACTACCATGGGAACTTTTGAACATCACAACCTGAAATATCAAATTGGGGAACATCCAGAGGTTACTCTCAGGAAGCTGGGCCACAGCCCAGTGGAAACTTGGAGCTGTGTTCCAAGAACAGGCCCCAGGAGAGCTTTGCCCTTGACTCAGACTGGAGGTTCAAGTCTGATCTCATGAAATTCTGCATCAACAGTTATATAACCTATTATCTTCAAACCCTGAGGAGAAAGATGACTTTGGATTTCATATCCATATGATTCTCCTGGCCCATCCTGTTTTCCAAATGTGCTACCTATTTTAACGTTTCCCAAAAGTTAGGAGTTTCCAGTCTCAATACTCAGCCACAGAGTAAGCATGTGGCTCCAAGACCTTATTCTGAGGCCTGAAATTCAATCCCCAAGGTCTCACTTAACCTTCCTTACCTGCTTGTCTAGGAATTCCCGGGCATCCTTTTCAATGTGGCCCTCATACAAGTTGGTTGTCAGACTCATAAGGCCAATTTTAGAAAGCCCAAAGTCAGTGAGTTTGATGTGCCCCATGGATGTAATCAGGAGGCTGGGAGACCACAGAAACAAAAACACAGAGTTATTTTCTGGTTTTCCATGAATGTTGATTTTAATATTTGCCAAAATTTCCCACTCAGGCTTCTAAAGGGTACAATGGGATATAAGCAGAGATAGTCGGCTATAAAACATAATTAGCTCGGTTTTACAAGTAGACTTCTGTCCATTCTTCCAAATCCATTTCTCTTTGTTGCCCATCCGTATTCTATACTGCAGCAGGTATCAGTCAATGGAGGAAGAGATTTCCACAGAGCCAAGATCAACTTGTCCTAAGGTTCTCCTCAACTGGGTGGCTCATAATACCTCTATTTCAGGGGAAATGGACACATAATCTTGTTCCATGTCTATGGCTATTATAGAAGGAGAGTTGTTTGGGAAAAACCAATAATCTCTGTAACATACTGGGCTCTGTGATAAGTGCTTAAAAATATTCTGGATCTGAGGGTGTACCTCAGTAGTAGGGCGCATGTGAGGCCCTGGGTTTGATTTCCAGTTATCCTCCCGCCAAAAAAAAAAAAGGTTTGGTCCCTAAAGGGTTCTCTAGAGTAAGTAACACAGCAAACCATAGGTATTATTATTCTCGTTTTTAGAGTGTAGAGCAGGGGAGCATGAGGCTTAGAGGAATTTAATACAGTTAACAAGCATGAATGGCCATTTCAACTCAGATCAAAGCTATTTTGTACCACAGAGACTCATCATCCTGTATCAGTCCAATTTAAATATCTGGAAAGTATTCCAGTCTCCTTCAGCTTCTTTTCTTCTTTTTCTATTCCATCCCAACTTTACTGCTAGCATGTGCGAGGCTCTGGGTTTGATCTCAAGCACACACACACACACACACACACACACACACACACCACAAAAAAATACCCGGCACGCACGCGCACGCGCACACGCACACACACACACACACACCCTACAAAAAAATACCCGAAAGGTTTTCTAGAGTAACTAACACAGCAAACACATGTACTATTAGTCTCATTTTAGAGAAGAACATGAGAAAGGAGCAAAGGATGCTTATGTTCCTTTTTATTTCCCTACATTATTCCCTCTTCTATATCCCATTCCTGTGCTCTAGAAGAGGCACTGTTGCTTTAGCCTGGTTTCCTAAAGTGGTCTTACTGTCTCTTCCACTGGCAGAGTGATCTTCCTAACCTAAAACAAAATCTGAGTATGTCATTCTATCATAATTTTGGTTAACTAGCCCTTCAAAGACTTTCTAGGCCCCTTTATAAGAAAACCCACTTAACAGAACCCTTGATGATCTAGCCCCTACCCTTCTTTTCTAGCCTCTTTTCTTACTACTGTGAGTGACCAGCACCTAGCTGCATCCCTATTGTATCATCTGTAGTTCCTGAGTGGAACATGTTCTCGCATTCCTGTTTCTTTGCACGTTATCCACCTCCCATCTTTTTCTACCTCACTTCTGCCCTCAGAGAAGTAGCCTATATGTATGTATTATCTGTCTCCCACACTAGACTTAGTTAAACATACCAGGGACTGTATTTAAAACCCACAGTACAGTGGTTGGCACAGAGTAGGTGTCAATTCTTGTTCAGCCATCTACTAGATGTGCTGATTCTTTTGTTCTTGCTTGGTTTCTTTAGTGGAGCTCTTCAGTGACTCTTTCATGTCACTGAACTCTTATGATGCTCCAGCCAGATCTTGTAGCAATGGTCTTTGAATATGGGGTGGTCAGGAAGCTGAGTACTAGGACTTAGAAGGACATAAACACAGTGAGCACTGGTTCCTAGCAGCCATTTTGGGATAGATTCAAATGTGCCATGTTTGCCTCCATTTATCTAGAGTCAAGAGGTAGGGCTGGACAATGGACCCAGATTGTGGACATACTTGTCAGGTTTGAGGTCACGGTGCACGATGCCATAGTTGTGTAAGTACTCCAGGGCCAGCACGGTTTCCGCAAAGTACAGGCGCACCATGTCTACAGGCAGGGCCCCAATGTTCTTCAGTAGAGTGGCACAGTCTCCCCCTGTAACAAGCCAAGGCTCTCATGAGGGAAGGATCCTCTTCTCTGCTCCAGCCAGTTTTCAGGCTTGTAGTCCCCAAGGAGACAGCCTCACACAGAGTACCCTGTTGCTGGAGACTATGATTCTAGCATTTCTGTTGCTAGCATGAGTGAAAAGTGCCAGTGGCTGTGAAGACCTTGGTTTAGGTCAGAAAGGGAAGGAACCCAGTCTTCCATGCCTACATGATGATTTGTAGTGATAACACTAAGCTGTTTTACAATGGGAATGATATATACTGTGAACATATCTGGCTAAGACTTTATCATTTGTTCATTTATTTCTTTCCTTTGGTTTCTGAGTAAAACAACAGTACAAACTCCTAGCACATACCACTGAATTAAATGGGTAGTTTTGTTCAGCTTCAACTTCAAGTCTTAGGGAAAAGAACTCTTTGGGAGTTGGATAGTGAGGGGGTGAGAGGAGGGCCACTGCAAAACTGCTGCCCCTCTGCAGAGTTTGTGCCTCACGTTGCTCTTAGTCCATTCCCAGAGCATTCTGAATGGCTTTCAGGAGTGCTTCTTTCACAAGGCATCAGCCAGAGCAATGGCTCCCCCTTCTTCAGAGGTCCAAACTATACTTTTGCAAATTCACTACCTAAACCTTTATTCCTGTCTGATGCCAGCATTAGAGGGTGTGCAGGCTTGGGGGAGTATATTCTATAGCCACCGAGCAGCTATATCCTGTCTCAGAGTGCTTCTGATTACATCTGACATGGGCAGCATCATGATGAGGTAGGAATTCACCTAGGCCAAATGGTCTCTGCGATCCTGAGAACCAATGCCAAAGAGGGCTTGCAAGTTGGGCCCTGAAACTGCATTCCTATACAAAGCTGCTGGTCCCTGGTTAGGTCTAAGTCTCAGACTGCACCATTGCCCCCACACTAGGCCATCTTCCCTTCAATACCTTCAGTACCTTCAACATATTCCATCACCATGCACAAGTGACGTTTGGTCTCAAAGGAGCAGAACATGCTGACCACAAAGGGGTTCTCAGCGAACGTCAGTATGTCACGCTCCACAAATGCCTGCTGGATCTGGTTTCGCAGGATCAGGTTCTGCTTGTTGATCTTCTTCATCGCAAAGCGCTGCCGGGTGGACTTGTGCCGCACCAGGAATACGGCCCTGGGAAACACAGCCCAGACCAGGTCCCATGAGCTCTCAGCAGCTGAGCTGTGTTTTTCACTACTCAAACTGCCTCCTCATACCTTGTAAGTGCACAGAACAAAGGAACAGGGAATTCACATAATAATGAGAGGGACCTGGGCCTCCTGGTCCACAAGACATTTAAATTTCTTAAGACCAGGTCCTGGGGACCCAGTTCAATGCTCTAGAGTTCAGATAGAAGAGAAGTACTACTAAGAGGTGAGAATCTTGCCTGGGAAAACAAACAATATTCAGATGTCAAAGGAAACTGAACTCTTGCCTCTCCAGGAGGCTTCAGGAAGGGAAAGAGCCTGCCTTGAGACATCTGCTAACCAGACAATTAGGATTCATATACTCCCAGAAAGAAGAAACCAAGAGCTGACTCAGCACCAGTCCTGGCCATACTCTGACCCCTGCTGTTACCCATAAGCGCCATTGCTGATAAGCTTAATGGTTTCGAAGTCCTCTTCAGAGGGGGTCTTTTTAGATGGCAGAGATGCCCCACGGCCCTGTAAGACAAGGGAAAAGGCAGGAGGCAGGCATGCTTCTCAGAGCCCATGTGCTTAGGGAAATTGTGGCCTAAGTATATGTACCAATTCAGCTCCTCAGCCCTGCTGCAACTCCTGCCCATTCTTTCCCATGAACCACACAGCTTCTCAGTGTTTGCAGCCACCAACTCCCCCATCCCTCCTTCAGATATTCTTTTAAAGTGAATTCACAGTCCTCTGGGGCAGGAGCTCCAGGTCTTTACCTCAACTGAATCATCTGTCTCCGGAGTATCTGGACTGTCATAGCTGCTTAGCTGGGCCATTTCTAGAAACACACCAAGGACACAAGAGAAAGTATGTGTGGCAATGTCAGGTACCTCAGCAGTTCTCTCAGGTCACACAACTGGTCCATGTGGAGTGGGCATTAATGCTTTGTATCAGCCTGGGATGCAAATCTAATCTTGTGGTTCTATTCCCAGAGTAGTCACAGATTTTGAATAAAAAAAAAGTCAAATGCTATTATACCACTATTTCTAGAAGTCCAGTGTCATTCACAAGGATTGGCACAGTTTAACTACTCTCATACTTAGATATTTTCTAGGCAACAGGACCTAAAGTAGGTACCAGTACCCATCCTGATGCCCAAATTTTGCTAGCTGGGGTGGGGAAGCAAAGAGACAGGAGCAGGGTAACTACAGACTAGGACATGGAAGCCCATTGCTCACCACAAAACCCAGAAAAATGGAGATATCCTCTGAAGACCTGAGTTGGATCACCTATAGACAAGAAGACTTGTAAGGTGACCAGCAGGAGAGACAAGTGTGCAGAGAAGGTGACCATTTTTAAAAATGTGATTATGGTCCTTTGCTGTTGACCTCATTTGATCTGAGGATTTAAATAGAACCCAGCTGGGTCTAAGGCCGTCCAAGCTAGGACACAGAAGACATCAATAATTCCAAAGGAAAGGCTATTTTATGACAAAGATCAGAGGGTGCCTCCTATACTCCTGATGCTTCTGATGCCAAGTCTCATCCACGTCCAGGCTTAAATCTCTTCTTTGCAGTCGCCAGACAGCATCCTCACCTTCTAGGGGATCCCTTGTGAGGCCCAGTTGGCTAACAATGTAGCGGGGAATGTCACATTTAATTCCATGTCCCTCTTTGGCATGGCCCTCAGCTGCTTCTAACAGGTGGTAGAACTCTTCAGGGTCAAACTCCTGTACCAGGGAAGAAAAGTGATCAGTGGTGAGAGATACAAGTGAATGCTGGCTGGCCTCTTTGGTTGTACAGCATATAGCTGTAGAGAGATGAAAAAGACATTGTCTTTGTGTCTGGTTTCAAGCCTTCCTTCAGACAGATGGCACTGTTAGATGTGTTCAGGTGCCCAGTCTAGAGAAGTCCCCATGTACTAAGTTGCAGTTCACAAGAGCTTTGGCACACAGCCCTAGTGGTGCATACCTTCAAATATTTACTGAGATGGGCCTGGAGTTCTAATGCTGACAGAACACAGTCCTTGTCTGCATGTAATAATGAGAGTCTCACTTCACCAGCCTACACCCATCTAACAACTCTGACTTCAGTAAAGAAATCAAGGCTCACAAGGAATTCACTGATCTGTTTATGATCACAGAGATAAGAAGAAATGGAAAAATCAGCATGCAAATCCCACTGGCTTCAAGCCCTTACTTTGCTACAGACTTCATGCTCTTGATGGAGACAACCTAGAACTCTAGCCTCTGCTTCACACCTGCTTTTTGTTCCCTCTGGTCTCTATTTTGGAAAAACTATTATTACGTATCTACATGTATTCTGAACCAGAATTAGAAATCCTTTTTAACTTCTTATGCTTTTTCAGCCCACATCTGATCAGAATGTCTATCTCATAAATACCTCTCTAACCCACTTCTTCCATTGTCATAATTCTGGCCACCCCATCTTATAACAATTGCTTTAGGTACCTTTGCTCCTTGGCTCTCTTCCAACTTACCATCCATTTTGAGGTCAAAGTAATCTTTCCTAAAAACTAAATTTGATGAAGTATTTACTGAGAAATAAAAAGGAACCACATACTGATACATGTAATATGCATAAATCTCAAAAAAAACACCATACTGAGTGAAAAAAGTTAGAACATACTATATGGTTTTAGTACATAAAACTTACAAACACAAATGTAAATATAGTGAAAGAAAGCAGGTAAGTGGAACCTGGGAGCAGGAGAGGGAAGGGACTTACCACAAAGGGGCACAAGGGAACTTTTAAAGAGACAGAAACATTTTCTATTTCCACTATGGCAGTGATTATACAGGCATATATTTGTTAAAACTCAATGACTACTTCAAAGGGATGTATTTTATTGCATGTCAATTATACCTTAATAAAGTATGTTAAGAAAAAAGTACATCTGACCACATCACATTCTAGTTTAAACTTTCTGGTAGCTCTGAGTGGCCTTAAGGATAATGAAAACTCCTGAAATGAGAACTCAACACCTTCCAGCTTCATCCCTCACTACTTCTTCAAATACACCCTATGTTCCATTGAGTGTCCATGCCCCTTACCTGGAAACTTGTACTCATCCTCCAGGACACTGAATAAATATCATCCCTCTCCCCCTCCCACCTTAGTCCCCAGAGCTTTCAATGCATCTTCATTCCAAGGAGGACCAAAACACTCCTTTCACCAGATTCCCAATGCACCTTGTACTGATTATGGTTGTGACTCTTCTTATAATATTATAATTATCATTTACATGCATATATGTTTTATACTTGCTAACTCCGTAAGAGGCATCTTGAGATCGGGGACTTTGCTCTATACATGCCGGTATATTCAGTGTCTAACATGAAGTAGGTACTCAGTAACATAGCTGAAGGACCCACTTGTACTAACTAAATTGGCCTATGCTCCTGGCTGCAAACACCCCCCACTCATCTGGGGATAGCTCAGTGCAGGGGTGCGACAGACTAATATTTGTCACTGCCACCATCCTTAGGAACCAGTTAGTCTCTCCCAAGTACTTTCGACTCATTTAAATAAACACCTCAGCAACAGAAATGGCAGTGGTGCTGACAGCTTTGTTATTGGCAAGATACTTCCTTTACAGCCCCCATACCCAACCTCCCCACCCTACTTCCCAGAGTCTACTCACCAGGCATTCTAGGAGACGAGCAGGGCGGGCAATGATAATCATCAGTTTTTTTACCAGCTGTATCACAAAGGCCACCTCTGAGCTCTCTGAACGTTCGTGAGCCTACAGAGAAGACAAAGGATGCTTAAACAATCTACTGGCCCAATGTGGTTGGGCTAAGCAGGACTGGACTGCGAACAGCTAACTACAGGGAGAAATAATTGGTAATATAGAGAGCTCTGCAAAGCAAAGAACTCAGAGAAGGCTAGTTGGCTGAGAGAGAGCACGTTGCTCATCAGGAACCATTGCACTTTAGAATATTACATGACACCAAGGAATGTCACACAGGCACACAGCTTTACCTACTCCTCCATCCAACAAGCTTCACTTACCCTCCAGACCCCAGCTGAAGGGTCTACTCTCAATGAAGCCTTCACTGATGTTCACTTTGCACCCCAGACAGACTGCAAAGAATAGAAAGACCTCAAAGCTGAGGAGTGATATGGCCAGAGAGGAATTTCAGAAAGATCACTCTGGCTGCAGTGTAGAGGGTGCACTAAAGAGGGAAATCCTAAAAACAGGAAAACCCATAAATAAGAAAGTTTAACAACTCAGATGAAAAAAGGCATAGATGAAGGAAAGAATGGAGTCAAGTGCACCCCTTTGGGGGAATTTTTGAGGTATACTTGAGTGGGTGGCAGAAATAAGAAAAGAAGGTAACTGCAACTTCACTTTTAGAGAAATGTTATTGAACTTGCAAATAAAACAGGAACTATAAGCAGCTTAGGGAAGAAAAGAACATGTCACATTTGGTTTTAGAGAAATAGAAGTGAGGTGAAAAAGACAAGTTCAGTTTGGGACCTGGACAGCTGGAGGAACCTATACAGATGCTCCCTTGGTAACTGCTAGGCCTAGAAGGCTTTCTCTTTCTCCCCTGAAATCTGCTTCTAAAAGCCACATTATATTATGTGGCTGCACTTTTCCTCCCACTTCCAACAGCTCACAGGTGTAGATTGCTTTCCTAACAATTAAAAAAAGGAGAGGAAAAAAAAAAAGAAGAAAAAGACCTACCATTATCAGTGTAACAACTGTACAATCTACACTTGGGTGAAAAAGGATGGCCACATTTACCCTAGAGAAAAAGAAAGACTGAGTCTTCATGAGCCTCCCAGTTTCTGGTTTCTAGTTCTGGTTTCTTAATGATTCCTGCATTTGTATCTTCAATTTTCTAAGACCCATCCTTTCCATCCTCAGTTCCTCTTTACTACTAAACTAGGCAGAGTCAGATTTCTATTACTTATAACCAAAGAATATAAGCCAGCATGGGGAAGTCAAAGTTGAGGAGTAGAGCAAGTGGTTGGGTTACTGTTGTGTTGAGAAGAATAGAAAGGATACATGTGGGAGTCTCACTGTATGGGTGAACACTGAGGACTTACGAGCAGATGAGGCTCATCAGCACAAACGTGGAAAAGGAAAAAAAGGAGAATGGACACTCTGACAGTACTCTATGAAATGCCAGCATTCGTGAGAGGGCAGAGAAGGAACCTATGAAGAGGCAGCAAGACTGAGGATAACAGTTAATTGACAACTAGAAGAATAAAAGTTTACAAAGAGGTACTCATTGTATTCTGTAGAGCAGCAAAGAGAGATGAGGACTGAAAAAGGCCACAAGACTTGGCAACTGGTCAATTAGTTCCTTGGTGACTTTGACCAGAGTAGTTTTATTGGAATCTAAGGAAAAGTAGAAGACAGAAGACTGAGTATTGAATACGTCACTAGAAAAAAAAGACAGCAAATGAAGACTTTTTCAATTTCCAGTTTTGGTTATGAAATGAAGAGAGGCTGGGCAGCTGGTAAAATCCTGCTTACTCTTTTAAGACTTAGCCAAAACATCAACTCTGTGAAGTCTCATCTAAGTATCCATGCCCCAAACGCACACACCTGCACAAGAAAATCAAGTAGTTTTCTGTTCTCCTAGCTGTCTGCTCACAGCACATGGACAATCCACTTGTTTTATAATGACCTATCTTTACAGATAAACTGTAGGCCTCTTCTTTCACATGCTGAGCCTAGCATAGTGCCTCTCATATAAGGAGAAGTAAAGTCAGTGAACGTTTGCTGACTATGTGTTTGAACCAGATGATATTAGGCTCTGGAATAATAAAAACCTAAGTTTAGGTTCTAGCCCTGCAATTTAAGAAATGAGTTACCTTGGGTTAATTTAGTCCTTTTAACCTTCAGTTTTTGCATATTTATACTTACGGAATAATAATAGTGCCTTCTTTACAGGATTGTTATAAGAATTAAATTAAGTAAATTAAATGAGATAATGGTCTGGCATGGTAGCTCATACCTAAAATCCCAGTTACTTGGTAAGAAGAGATGGGATCACAGTCTAAGGCTGGCTTAGTCAAAAGCACAAGACTCTATCTGAAAAAAGAAAAACTAAACCAAAAAGACCTTGGTCTTCAAGTGGTAGAGTGCATGCCTGGCAAACACAAGGCCCCAAGTTCAAACCTCAGTACCACCAATAATAAATAAGTAGATAATGCAGTGTCTAGTATAAGTATATGCCATAAATTTTGGCAGTTTTTATTATTTCATACTTAAAGCTGATCATGTAATTTTTTTTCAATTTAACACCATAGAATGATACTCCATTGCTTTCATGAGAAAATCTAAGCTCCTTGTAAAGTCGTTCATCATTTGGCTCCCAGTCTAACTCTTCAAATTTGCTGTCTTTTTCCTGTAAGCATCCTTCAACTCTAGTCATGCTAACCTACTTTATCTGCAATTTCTGGAAATTACCAAGTTCCTTTACATCTCTGAGAGGTTATTTACACTGTTTCTTAGACTTAGTGAACTTATTACATACTTGTCAAGACTCAACCTTCCCTGAACTTTCCATGCAGAGTCCTCTTTTAGGCTCAAAATTTACCTCTATTTAGTATTCATCAATCACATTGTACCATAGTAAATGGAAGCAGGATAATCCATATGAAACACTGTGTAGAGAGGATTCCAAGATGGCGACTAGAGGGAGGAAGCAGAAAGCATGCCTCCTAAAGTAAAATCTTGGAGAGACGCTGGAGATACACCTTATAAGAAAAACCACACAGAAGAGGCAAAACTTTGACTCTTCCACACCCTCACCCCACGCATTGCATTCCCACTCCACATTGAATGGAGAAACCAGGAGGGCTCCCGTGCAGCCACACGCCAGCTCCCAGACCGCTGGAGAAGATGCAGACCACAAGGTGAGCTAAGTGGCACATGGTACTCCCACAGACAACCCTGGGCAAGATCAGCATAGCCCTCTGGTCAGACTGACCCCCACCCAGGGAAAAAAGAAAAAAAAAAACTGAATAATAAGCAATAACAACAAAAAAGACACGTAGCAAAGAGGGCGGGGCTCCGTGAGCACTGAAGGGTGGGGGAGAGGCAATCCCCCGGAACTATAAATAAACAAGCTGGCAGGAGAAGGCAGAAGAGGCAGCACCCACCCAGCAACCAGGAGCAGGAAAGCTTGTAAAAGTGGCGGTGGGAGGAAAACTCCACAGGAGGGGGGGAAGGTCCACTTCCCACGTGAACTGTAAATAAACACACCGGCCTGAGAAAGCGGGTATAGCGTCACCTCCTTCAGTGTGCTTGGAAAGGGGAAATCATGTAACAGTGGCGGTTGCGCCCAGGAGAACTCTAAGTAAACAAAGCCTGCAAGTCTAGGTGAGTGTTAAGCTCATCCCTGAGATCTGCGTAAATAAAGCCTCCAGCAACAGCAGGCAGCAGGCAGACTCTTTTTTTTTCTCTCTTCCTTTGATGAGACAACAACCAAACTACACCTGCATGCTGAAAAACTTACTGAAACTGTATTGCATTTGAACTTGGGATACTTTGTGGTGTTTTGGTTTTTTTGTTTTTTGGGTTTTTTTCTCCTTTGATGACACCACAACAGAACTACTTCTGAGACACATCTTCAGGACTGGAGGCTAAGGGACTAATACCATAAATGAAACGTTATTGCATTTGAACTTGGAGATTTTTTTATTTTATTTTATTTATTTATTTATTTTTCAATCCTCTTTCTGTCTCTCTAATGTCTGTTTAGCTTACTGTTGATTGGTACACTATCTCTCCCTGTTTATATCTTTGAAACTTTTTGTTTGTTTTGTTTTGTTTTTACTTGTCTATTTGTGTTTCCCTTTTTCTTTACCTTCTTTGTTTTCCCTTTCCTCTCACCCTTCCATTCTAAATATCACCACTGTTATTATTTATTACAAGCTAGAAAATACTTAACTGCACACAGTACAGGGACAATAACAATACCAAGGGCAATGATGGGAAGACAGAAAAAACAGGGAAACCAGTTTCCCCACAGCGAAAAATTAGTACAGGAACAGAAGGAAATGAAGAAAACAGATACTCAGATCCAGACTCCAACAAAATGAAGATTAAACTATGCCAAAAAACCTAATGAAGCCCACAAGAATAACCTAAAAGAAGAAATACTACAGGTAATCAATGAGAATTTTACAGAGCTGATACTGGATATGGTCAACCAAAATGTACAGGAGACACTCAAGAAATTCCAAGACAACAAAAATAGAGAATTTGAGAAAGCACAAAAAGAAATAAAAGAAACTATAGAAGCACTGTATAAACACAAAAGTGAAACAAAGAACACGATTAATAAAGACATAAATGAACTCAGGACGAAAATAGACAATTAAAGAGGAAGCAACTCAGGATATGGAAAACCTCAGAAAAAAGAATAAAACAGAATTGCAAAACAAAATGGAAGGCCAATCCAGCAGAATAGAACAAACAGAAGACAGAATATCAGAACTTGAAGATGAAATGGTAAATTAAAGGAAAAACCAAAGAACTATTTGTTAAACAATTCAAGACCTGTGAAAAGAAAATGCAAGAACTCACTGACTCCATCAAAATACCAAGCCTGAGAATCATGGGCATTGAAGAAGGAGAAGAGATGCAAGCAAAGGGAATGCGTAATATATTCAACAAAATAAAATCTAGAGAAATCTATTCCCATAAAGATGCAAGAGGCCTCCAGAACGCCAAACAGACCGGACCAAAATAGAACTACCCCACGGCACATTATCATT